CAAATGAAAAAAAGCAAACTGAAGAATAGAAAACTGAAGAAAAGTGAGACTGAAGAAAAGTAAACATGAAAAAAAGTAAAAGAAGAAAGAAGAAAAGTATAAAAAAAGAAAATTAAAAAATGAATAAAAGTAAAAAACGAAGAAAAGTAAAAACGAAGTAAAGTACAAATGATGAAAAGTACAAATGTAGAAAAGTAAATCTGAAGAAAACTAAAAACGAAGAAAATTAAAAAGCAAGAAAAGTACAAATGAAGAAAAGTAAAAGTAAAAAAAGTAAAAAGAAGAAAAGTACAAATTAAGAAAAGTAAAAAATCAAGGAAAGTAAAAAACATAGAAAAGTAAAACTGCAGGAAAGTAAAAAATGAAGAAAAATAAACATTAAAAAAATAAAACACGAAAAGAAGAAAAGTAAAAACGAAGAAAAGTACAAATGAAGAAAAGTAAACATGAAAAAAAGTAAAAGTAGAAAAGAAAAAAATTAAAAAATGAAGGAAAGTAAAAAATGAAGAAAAGTACAAATGAAGAAAAGTAAAATTGAAGAAAAGTAAAAAATGAAGAAAAGTGAAACCAAATAAAAGTACAAATGAAGAAAAGTAAAATTGAAGAAAAGTAAAAAATGAAGAAAAGTAATAAATAAAGAAAGGAAGGAAAGTAAAAAAAGGAAAGAATTAATAAAAAGTAAAAAATAATTTACCATTTGCAAAATATGGAAAACAACATTAAAAAAATAAGTGTCAAGTTCCTTTTGAATTACAAACTGGAAGCGCCCAAAGTTTACATTCTCAATTCCCATAAATATGTTATTTTATCGAGTATATGGAAACTATCTTCAAAGCAATTTCCTCGATTCCCCACGCTTCGTTTAATAAACTGAGACAAGAAAATAGAAAAGGATTTCTCCTCCTTCGCAAAAGAGTCAACGATCTCTCTCGGCGACTCGAGTTTCCGGTGGAAAACTTTAAGAAACGAGGTTTTGGCCAATTGTACAATTGCGAATCTACTTCATTCGCTTGTCGATATCATACATCGATTGATGAAAAAAGATATCTACAAATTTTTGTCGATTCGTTTTAGTTCAATCGGCATAAAAGCAGAAATGCCATTCAACGAATTTTCAATTTTCTCTTAGTAACACACAATATTGGAAAAAATGATATTATTCTTGTAATAATAAATTTTTCCAAAAGAAAACAATAAAATCATTCTATAGTTAAATACATTTTTTAAAATTTGAAGACACAGTTTTTCTATGGATATTAAATTGAAACAAAAAATGTATGAAAACGTTGCTTCGCAACTTTTTTGTTTCTTTGTCTCAATTTTTTTTTTTTTTTTTTTAATAAAAAGGATCAAAACGTTGCTTCACAACTTTTTTGATACGTTTCTTGTCTCAATTTGATATCCTTAGAAAAACGGTGAAAATTTGAAATTAAAAAAACAGGATTTTTTTTGTGTCTATAACATATATTCCCTAACGTGTCCCAGGGAGGAAACTAGCATCTCTCGTATTTATATTTTTGGTAAGGAAAAATGGTAAAAGAAAGCACGGCTTTTAGTCTGATTAGTGCAGCAAAAAAGGGGAATTTTTTTAGAAAAGTAAAAACCCACCTTCGCATATATATACTAATCCTTACAGAATGTACGATTTTTTAATGGAACAAAAAGTATTATTTGTTTGCAAAATTTCAAAAATTTCCAATAACAAGACTTTTCGATTAGTTTTAACATTTTAACGAAATTTTATCGAAATTTTGAAAATTTTTAATTAAAATCATTCGAAACTTTAATCATTTTTTAAGAAAAAATAGATTAATTATTTTTTTCTAAAAATTAAAAATCTAATATTTTTACAGTTTTACAACAATTAAAATTTTTAAAAATTAAAATTAAAAAATCTTTTCAAATTTAATTATTTCTAAAAATTCATAATATAACGCTTCTAATATTTATTTAAAATTTTAACTGAAATTCATTTTTAAATCAATTTTTATTAGAAATTTCAACGAGACTTCAATTATTTAAATTAAAAAAGTAAATAATTTATTGAATAATTAAATATTTCTTAAAATTGAATTCTTATAAAGAATTTTATCAAATTTTCTTAAAATAATTGAATTCTTTCGAAGAATTTTAATAAAATAATAAATAAAATTAATAAAATAATTCAATTCTTGCAAAGAATTTTTTATAAAAATCTTTTTAAATAATTGATTGTGTTCGAAAAATTTTATGAAAATTATATTTTAAGTCATTGAATTCCAGTAAAAATTTTATTATTATGAAAATAATTAAATTTGCGCGAAGAATTTTATTAAAATTATAGTCAAAATAATTGAATTTATCTTGAAGTTGTTTATTACTTATGAAAATAATAGAACGCCAGCAAAGAATTTTATTATTTACGAGAATAATAATTGAACTCTTAGGATTTTTTTTTCTATTGGAATTGAATTAAAAATAATTTAATTATTGTAAATTTTATTAAAATTTTTGAAAATAATTGAATTTTTGCGAAAAATTTAACTAAAATTATAATCAAAATAATTGAATTCCAGTAAAAATTTTATTATTTATTAGAATAATTGAACTCTTTGGAATTTTTTTCGTTTAAAATTGAATTAAAAATAATTTAATTCTTGTAAATTTTAATAAAATTTTTGAAAATAATTGAATTTTTGCGAAGAGTTGCATTAAAATTTTCAAAAATAATATAATCCCAGCGAAGAATATTTTATAAAAATTCTTTTAAATAATTCGCTTTTTTCAAAAAAAAAATTGAATGAAAATTGTATCACTTAAATAATTGAATTAAATGTTTGCAAAGAATATTTTATTTCAAATTCTTTTAAATAACTGAATTCTTTTGGAAAATTTTATTAAAATAGTAGATATTGTAAATAATTGAATTTTCAGTGAACATTTTCATTATTTGGGAAAATAATTGAATTCTTACTAAAAATTGTCTTAAAATTTTTGAATTTAATTGAATCGTTTCAATGAATATTAAAAAAAAAAACTTTTGAGAATAATTTATTTATTTAATTTATTAGCTGATTTAAAGTAATGTAAATTCTAAAAAAAAATATTTTTTTCTAAATAATTCAATTAAAATTGTATTTTAAATAATTGAATTCCTGTCAAAATTTTATTATTTATGAAAATTATTGAATGTTTGCGAAGAATTTATATCAAAATTCTTTTGAAATAATTGAATTATTTTTCATTATATTTAATTGAATTAAATAATATTTATTGAAGTCAATTAAATAGTTTAATTCATATTTGCTTCAAATACTAAAATTAATAGTTTAAATACCATTTAATTGACTCCAATAAATATTATTTAATTCAATGAAATTTAATTTAATGTAATAACTTAAATTATTTTAAGAATTTAAATATTAAATTATTTAATAATTTAAATAATTTAAATTTTATTTTTAATTTATATTTAATTGAAAATTTAATATTTATTGGGGTCAATTAAACGGTTCAATTCATATTTGCTTCAAATATTAAAATTATTAGTTCAAATATGATTTAATTGACACGAATAAATATTATGTAATTCAATTAAATTTAATTTAATTGAATAATTTAAATTATTTTAAGAATTTAAAATTTAAATATTAAATTATTTAATAATTTAAATAATTTAAATTATTTAATTTATTTTTAAAATTATTTTTTTAAAAATTTAATTTAATTTTATTTTATTTTATAATATTTATTGGAGTCAATTAAACGGTTCAATTCAAAATTTTTGTCTTCGTTTTCTGATTCGTTCCACAAGAAACAGTCATTCGTGCGCATGCGCCTCTAGAGAGAGAAAGAAGAGGGGACGTTAAGTACACTAGCTTTCTCTTTCTATCATTCTGTCGCTACAAAATTACCAATATAGGTATATAAATGAAATGCACAAAATGCAAACAAGTAAATTCTTACATCGTATCCTTTTTCGAGCAATAAGCTAAATTGACCGTTGAGCGAGCCGTTGAGAAAGGAAGAATGAGAGATAATTTAAGATGAATGTGATTTGTGAGGGAGAAATTCGTTAATGGTTCAAACGCGACGCCTTCTTTAAGAGGAAGAAGACTCACACACACTTTAGTCGAATATAAGTGAGAAGGATTGGTGGGCAATCGTGCGGTAGACAAACGACATCATTAGTGATGTAAATTGCATTTGTTTTTAGTAGACGGGTTTTCTCTTTGCATCCGCACAGTTCTCGCCATATGTATTATATATCTCGAATTTACATGGACCTTCTTCTCTCTCTCTCTCTCCTCTCTCACCCTCTTCTCATTCTCTCCCACCTTTCCCAACTTTCTCATTCTCGTCGACTCACTGCAAAACGGAAAACATTTCACATCATGCCTTATCTAAATGACGAGCAATTAAAAAGTGCTTGATACAAATTAGTCTACATTACAGCTCATTAGCTTTCATTCCCCCCCCCTCTTCTCTCCCCTCTCTTACTTCCTTCAACCTTTTCGTAAGTATATTATTTGCAGCACACGCTCTTTATTTTTATTTTATTTTTTTCGTAAACCGAGGGGCAATTAGAAAAGGTGCTTTTATTTTTCCACAGAGGGAAAATATAATTCAATTCAATTTAACAGCATCCTAAACCGATTTAATTATGATGACTTTTTGCCTCGCTTTTTGTGTATTTAAATAAAAAAAACTATATTTTTTTAAATATCGAACTGTATTTTTATCTTAAATACTATACAAATATAAAATTAGTATATTAAAAATCGTATTTCGCCGTTTTATAGAAAAATCTCTATATACTGCAGTATATTGATTTTTGATCATGATCAAAAATCAAGGCATCTTTCTGGTAATTATTACCATATTTATAATAATTAATTGATGGAAAAATAAACTTACAACTTACTGAAAGTCCAGCAATCAGTAAAAAAATGATCTCAATAGTCGCACCAATTGAACTTAAATTCTAATCGCGGGGGAGTAAGAAAAAAAAATTCTTTTTCTTTATTCTCTGTCAGAAAATTCCTGACTAGCCAAATCGTAGAATTGGGAAGTCGTATTCTGAAGGAGTAAATTTGGTTCGTCAAATTCTAGCACCTCTCCATCGCCCATCACCAGGACTCTGTTCGGGAAAAAAATAAAAATCATTCATTATTGCGAACACTGTAAAGGAAATCAAATTTTAATCAGAATTGCCACAAAAAATTAATTTTCTTTTTCTCTCTCACTTCTTTATGTTTTCTAATAATTTAAATTTACATAAAATTTTTCAAAAAAAATTAAATTATTTTAACAATTTTCATAAAATCCTTCGCAAGAATAATAAAATTTTTCATAGGATTTCAATTATTTTTAATTCAATTTTAAATAAATTTCTCGAAACATGTAATTATTTTCAAAAATTTCTTGCAAGAATTCAATTACATTTCACATAACGAAATTCTTCTCTGAAATTCAAATATTTTCAAAATCTGTTATTTTAATCAAAATTTTCAAAAGAATTCAATTATTTAAAAAAAATATAATGAAAATTCGTTGCAAGAATTCAATTATTTTCTTAAATAATAAAATTCTTCGCAGGATTTAAATTATTTAAAAGAAATGTAATAAAATTCGTTAAAGAATTCAATTATTTTTTTAAATAATAAAAAGCTGTTTATTATTTATAATAATAATTAAAATCTTACAATTTTTTTCGATTGAAATTGAATTGAAAATAATTCAATTATTTTCAATTTTATTAAAACTTTTAAAAAAGATTGAATTCCAGCGAAGAATTTTATTATTTATGAGAATAATTGAATTCTTGCAATTTTTTCGATTGAAATAAATTGAATTGAAAATAATTCAATTCTTGTGAATTTTATTAAAATTTTTAAAAATAATTGAATTTTTGCGAAGAACTGCATTGAAATTTTCAAAAATAATTGAATTCCAGCGAAGAATATTTTATAAAAAATCTTTTAAATAATAAATTTTTTTCGAATAAATTGAATGAAAATTGCATTTCTTCAATAATTGAATTGCTGTAAAAAAATTTATTATTAATAAAATAATTGAATGTTTGCAAAGATTTATATTAAAATTCTTTTAAATAACTAAATTTTTTTTAGAAAATTTTATTAAAATAGTAGATATTGAAAATAACTTAATTTCAGCGAAAATTTTCTTTATTTAAGAAAATAATTAATTTTTAAGGAAAATTTTTCTTAAAATCTTTGAAATTACTTGAATTGTTTCAAAGAATTTAAAAAAAAATGTTGTGAATAATCTTTTTATCTCAATTATTAGCTGATTTAAAGTAGTGTAAATTGTAAAAAAAATTATTTTCTTCTAAAAAATTCAATTAAAATTGTATTTTAAATAATTGAATTCCTGTACAAATTTTATTATGAAACTTTTATTATTTATGAAAATAATTTTATGTTTTCTTAGAATTTTAACAGAATTTTTGTTAAATAATTCAATTCTTTTGAAAAATTTTATTAAAAATTATTGAATTGAGGAAAATTTTGGAAATAATTTAATATTTACCAAGAATTTTATTGAAATTTGTGAAAATAATTGAACTTTGGAGAAGAATTCTATTAATTTTAAAAATAATTGAAATTTGGACGAGTGTTTAAAAAAATTTTTAAATATAATTGAATTTCTGAGAAGAATTCTATTATTTATTAAAAATAATTGAATTTTGCAAAAAATTTTATTAAAATTCCATAAAAATAATTGAATTTTGCCAAGAACTTTATTAAAATTTTTGAAAATAATTGAATTTCGAAGAAGAATTTTATTAATTTTACAGATAATTGAAATTTGGACTAAAGTTTTTAAAAATTTTTAAATATAATTGAATTTCTGAGAAAGACTCTATTACTTTTAAAAATAATTAAATTCTTGAAATGAATTTTGGTTATTTATGAAAATAATTGAATATTGCAAAAAATTTTATTATAATTCCATAAAAATAATTGAATTTTGCCAAGAATTATATTAAAATTTTTGAAAATAATTGAATTTTTGAGAAGAATTTTATTAATTTTACAGATAATTGAAATTTGGACGAGAGTTTCTAAAAATTTATATTAAATATAATTTAATTTCTGAGAAAAATTCTATTACTTTTGAAAATAATTGAATTTCAGCAATTATTTGTAACTTCTGTAAAATTAAATTTTTTCCATTATTTTAATAAAAATCCCTGAATTTCCTGATTTCCCTGACCTATGGCAACTCTGTTAATATTAAAAAAAAATTAAATATTGAAATTTGTACTAAATAAAAAAAAATTAAATCTTACCTATCACAGTGCATTATTGTTCTGATTCTGTGTGCAATTGTTATGACGGTTGCACTTCGAAAGGAAGATTTTATCGTCGCTTGAATTGCCTTATCAGTCTCGTGATCGACGTTAGACGTTGCCTCGTCAATGCATAATATCTGCAGAAAATAAAAATCGTTGCATTTAGAAAAAAAGACGATTGAAATTAAAATAAAAAAAATTTACAATAGTTCAGAATTTAGAGAAAATTAGATTAATTTAAAAAAAAAGAAATTTACCCTGGCATTATGCAAAACAGCTCTAACTAAACAAAAAAGTTGTCTCTGTCCAGCGCTGAGATTTTTCCCACCTTCCTCCAATTGAGCACCCAAACCTCCTAGACGACCGACCAAAGTATGTAGTTTACATTTTTCCAGAGTTCTAAATAATTGGGAATCTGGATACTGATTAAGAGGGTCGATATTTTCTCTAACCGTTCCAGAGAATAAGAATGGATTCTGCGGAATAATCGACAAGCGCGATCTGAAAAGAATTTTTATTTCTTTTTAATCAGAATGAACGTAGCTTATCACTTGGTAAAAATTATATAATTTAAATTAAAAGAAAATTATCATTCTTCCAAGTCAAATAAAAATAAAAACAAATTATTACGTTTCGACAGCTCTGCTATCCTCTTCAGAAACTGAAAATTTTATTTTTTTTCGATTTGGAAGATTAATAATTTCCTTTTAATTTTAATTTCAAAAATTATATTTAAAATCTAAATTGAAAGTGCAAAGAATACCTTAAGGAGTTGAGTTTTATCGTTTGAACATTAACATTGTCGATTAAAATTTCTCCTGTCTCAATTTCCACTAATCTGAAGAGCGACGAAAAAATAGAACTTTTTCCAGCACCCGTTCGACCGACAATTCCAATTTTTTCCGCCGGTCTCGTCGCAAAGGAAACTCCCTTCAACGACGGCATCAAATGTTCCCTAAAAATTAAATTTCCATTCCTTAAAACTTAAATTTACAAATTAAAAATTACAAATTACAATATAAAGCTAAAACTGTCACCCAGTTAATTAATAAAATTTTGTCAGACAAATAGTTTCTTTCTCTAAATCTTTAAACTGAAATAAATTTTTTCTTCAAAATCAACATCAAATGATCAAAAATTAAATGAATGCTAATATTTAACTGAGAGCAGCCGAAAAAAAATTGAACAGAGAAAATTAAATTATCAAGAAATGAAATTACCGATATTTGAGAACAACATTTCGAAATTCAACAACTCCTTGAGTTGGCCAAGCATAAGGAGGATTTTCACCGTCAATTGTTTCCATTGAAATATTATCGAGATATTGATTAATCCTCTCGACGGCAATCATTTCGCGTTCAGTTTCCGTGAATGCATTAACAAGTCCCGAGAGAAGTGATGATACAGAAAGCATATAAGTTACGGCAAGACCAATTAATCCAGGATCGGCAATATCGTATTGATGCTGAATAACAGCCATTACACAAACACCACCTAAAAGTGCAACGCCAATAAATTGTAATCTCAATGCCAACCACTGTCCAGCTGCTGTTGAGGCAAAAATTGCCTTTTGACTATTCTCCAAGAAATGCTCATTCTCATATTTAAAGCGTGAGACTGCTCTGAAGGCGCGTATTGTACTCAAGCCTTGCAATGTTTCGTTAAAATGTGCATACAATGGCGACAGTGTTGAACTCGACAATCTCTTCAATTCCCTGGACGTTAATCTAAAGCAAGTGTGAATACAAAAAAAAGCATTAAATTTTAATTTTCTCTCTACGAATTAAAATTAAAATTAAAATGTCAAGCGAATTGAAGAAAGGTACCTAAGGAATTATTTTTTAGTTCATGTTTTTATTTTAACTTAATTAAAAGTTTCTAGGTTTAATTTAAAACTAATATCAATTTTTGTCTAGTATTTTAAATCGAAATCAAAATTAAAACTCAAATTAGAATCAAAATTAAAAATTAACAGCGTTAAATAATACAATTTTAATCAAATTTCTCGAAAAATGTAGCTATTCTTAAAAATTTTATTAAAAATTCAATTATTTAAAAATTTGTTGATAAAGTTCTTTAGGAAAAATTCAATTTTAAGAAACATTTAAAACTAATAAAATTCTTTTTAGCAAAAATTCAATTTTGTTCAAAAATTAAAAAAAAAACTCTTGTCCTAATTTAAATTAACTTTAAAATTAATAAAATTCTTCTGAAAAATTTAATTATTTTCATAAATAATCAAATTTTTTACGGACATTCAATTATTTTCTTGAATAATAAGACTTGTTGCAGAATTTTAATTATTTTTAATACAATTTTAATCGAATTCCTCGAAAAATGAATAATTATTCTTGAAAATTTTATTAAAATTCGTCGAAAATATTCAATTATTTAAAAATTTGCTGATAAAGTCCTTCATAAGAATTCAATTTTGAGAAACATTCAAAAGTAACAAAATCCTTCGCAGAAAATCAATTATGTTATAAAATTTAAAAAAAAACTCGTCCAAATTTCAATTGCTTTTCAAATTAATAAAATTCTTCTCCAAAATTCTATATCTACTATTTTAATAAAATTTTTCAAAATAATTCAATTACTTAAAAAAAATTTTGATAAAATTCTAAGCAAACATTTAATTATTTTCATAAATAATAAAAATTTTACAGAAATTCAGCTATTAACAAATTTTTTAGAAATTTCTTCGCAATAATTCAATTATTTTCATAAATAACCAAAATTCATCACATGAATTCAATTATTTTTAAAAATAATAGAATTCTTCTCAGAAATTCAATTATATTTAAATTTTTTTAAAAAACTCTCGTCCAAATTTCAATTATCTTTAAAATTAATAAAATTCATCTCCAAAATTCAATTATTTAAAAAAATTTTAATATAATTCTTGGCAAAATTAAATTATTTTTATGGAATTTTAATAAAATTCTTTGCAAAATTCAATTATTTTCATAAATAACCGAAATTCATTACATGAATTCAATTATTTTCAAAAGTAATAGAATTCTTCTCAGAAATTCAATTATATTTAAAAATTTTTAAAAACTCTCGTCTAAATTAAATTATCTTTAAAATTAATAGAATTCTTCTCCAAAATTCAATTATTTTCACAAACTTTAATAAAATTCTTGGCAAATATACTTACAGAGATTCAATTATTTTTATAAATAATAAACAGCTTCAGACAAATTCAATTATTTTTCTTATATTTTTAATAATTCGCTAAAAATTCGTTAAAATTTTAGATAATTCAGCTATTTACAAATCTTTTATAAATTTTTTTCGCAATAATGCAATTATTTTCATAAATAATTAAATTTTTTACAACTGACAATTCTGTAGAATTAATTTTTTTGAAAAAGTTTAATTGAATATTTTTTAAAAATTATTTCAAGGTTTTATTTTGTAAATATTTAATTGAAGGATTTCCCAATAATCGAAATTTCGTAAAATTGAATTGTAAATAAATGGATTTTAAAAATTCTCAAGGAAATTTTGCAATAATTATTAAAAATTATTGATAATTGATTTCTTTCGAAGAATTTTAATAAAATTTTTTTAAGTAATTACATTTTTCGAAGAATTTACTTAAAATTGTATTAAAAGTAATTAAAATCATGTGTAGAATATTATTATTTATGAAAATAATTGAATTCTTGCAAAGAATTTTTGTTACATTTTTTTAAATAATTAAATTCTTTTGAAAAATTTGATTAAAATAACAGATTTTGAAAATATTTGAATTTCTGCACAAGAATTTAATTATTAAAATGTGAAATGTAAATATGTGTAATGTCATTGAATTCTTGCAACAAATTTTTGAAAATAATTACATTTTTCGAGGAATTTACTTATCTGAAGAATTTGATTATTTAGAAAAACAATAGAATTTTTATTAAATTTTATTTAAATAATTGAAATCCTGTGTAGAATATTTTTATTGATGAAAACAATTGAATTCTTGCAACGAATTTTTATTACATTTCTTTTAAATAATTGAAATCCTTTGAAGAATTCTATTATTTATGAATAATAATTGAATTCTCGCAACGAATTTTTATTACATTTTTTTAAAAATAATTGAATTGTTTTGAGTATCTTATTTGATTAAAATTATCAGATTTTAAAACTTTTGAATTTTAGCGAAGAATTTAATTGTTTGAGAAATGTAATTGAATAATGATTAAATATTTATTTAAAAAAGAAGTTATTGATGTTTTCAAATAATTCTACTTTTGAAGAAATTTGTAAATAGATGTAATAGAACATTTTTTTGACTATCTAATAATTTTTAGAGTAAATCAGAATATTCTTTAGGGTCAGTGAAAAAGGGAAAATTTTGTCCGCAAATTAGGGAAAAGTCAGTGAAAAACAAAATCAAATTTTTGTGACAACCCTGATTAAAGTTGAAATTGAAATTAGAACTAAAATTAAGAATTAAATTTAAAAATTGAAATTAAGTATCAAAATTAAATATTACCTGTAATGATTTTGAAGCCAATTGTAAATGGGAACAAGAGGCGCAAGTACCAAAAATATCCACGGTAATCCATAGAGTGTAACAACAACTATTCCCAATAATCCAAAAAATTGTGCAAATAAAATATTCGACATAAATGGAAGTGTATCATCAATAGTATAAGTATCAGACGAAAATCTATTAATTATCCTGCCATGTGGTTGTATATCGAAAAATGTCGACTTTGCCTGAAAATTAAATTAATATCAACTCTTGCCTTTATTTTCAATATTAATTTTAAAAAAAGAATTCAACTTACCATTACAACAACTTTTAGCAACTGTTTTTGTATATAAACAGCAGCCTTCAGTCCACCATAGGCAAACAAAAATGCCCGAATCAAAGTAAAGAAGGAATTTAATACAGCAAGACCGGCATAAATTGTTAAATAATATTTAACATTCTGAGTATTTTGTGCGTTGGTCAAAAATTCCAAACCCGGAATAAGCTCCGGATTACTCGAATTTGTCGAATTTCCACTCGTATCATTATTATGAGTCACCCAAAACGATAGCCATAAATCGGTAACATTCCTCGACGTTTGCATTAGAAACATTGCCAAAAAAATTGCAATAACAAGATAATTTCCAATCGCCTTAAAATACGATTCATAGACACTAAATTGCAATGTTCCTTTCTCAAGTGTCTCGTCTTCGAGCAAAGAATCCCTATCGCCATCATTTTCCTCAATGTAATTTTTCTTAACAATTTTCTTCACAGAATTAGAAGTTAAATCAATTTCCATTGATTCCGTTGACAGAAGATATTCATCTAAATCGACAAGAATTTCACTCGGTTTTCCCTGTTTGACAATTTTTCCTTTCGATATTTCAACAACTTTGTCCGCGTGTATCAAATATTGTGTCTGATGGGTGCACATTATTCTCGTTTTATTCTTCAAAAGTCCAAGAATAACATTATTGAATATATGTTTAGCCACTCGCATATCAAGAGTAGATAGAATATCGTCCAATAGATAAATATCCTTGTCAGCATAAATTGCACGAGCCAGAGTTATTCGCGTTTTTTGCCCTCCACTTAATGTCATTCCCGCTTCACCGACTCCACTCAAATCCTTCTTTGGAAATGTATTCAAATCGTCAGTCAATGCACAGGCTCTTATTATTGATCTAAAAAAATTCATAAAATTATTTTTCAATAATCGAAATAATTTGCACTAAAAAAAATTATTTGATTCAAATAACGGATTACTTGTCTATTATCAAATAAATATTTACTTGAATCAAATAATTTTCATTTAATTAAATGATTTAATTTATTAAATGGTTCAATTCATATTTGCTTCAAAAATTTAAATTATTGACTAAATTAATTAAAATCAATTATTAATTATTGACTCAAATAAAAATTATTTGTTTCAAGTAAATATTTATTTGACAATAGACAACTAATAATTTGAATTTTTTTTTTAATAATTTGAAAAAAAATTCACTAGAAATAAATTTTAATACTTGTATTTGTTGTGATCGTAGGGTTTTCCAAAAAGAATATTTTCGCGAATTGTTCCACGTTGAATCCAGGGGATTTGCTTGACGAATCCAAAACCTTTCTCTAAATTATTCACGGCAACAATTCCCTCTTGTTTCGCAATTTCACCTAAAATTCCATCTAAAAGAAGTGATTTTCCACTTCCAACTCGTCCCATTATTCCTATTAGTTGCCCCTATTTTTTTTAGGAAGAAAATATTTCAATAAAATTAGGCAAACAAGATTTAAACAAAAATAATAAATATTATTTAAAACGTTTACCTTTTCCGCAGTGAATTCTAAATTTGCTAAATTAAAACTCATTTTTTTCTCGTCCTCAAATCTAACGAGTCTTCCAATTTCCTCCTCATCACGAGAAGTGGATGGGGAATTTTCATTTTTCGCATCACCTTTTGTAGAAAATGTTGTATTTTTCACCATAACATCGACTCCAATTGGTGGATCAGAATAGAAACTTGAAATATCTGACTCTGGTAACTGGAAATATTTGATCAAAAATTCTATATTCTATGTAAGAATTAAAATTAATTTAATTAATTTTTTTCTAAAGAAGTAAATTTTTTATTAAACTTCTGACGCTTTTTTAATAATTTTTTGAAAAAATATTTTCAATTTTCAAATTAATGTATTCTTTCATGAAATTTTACTCAAATTTTATAAAAAATAATTTAAATGTTTGGAAGAATTTATTAAAATTTTAGAAAATAATCATGGTTGCCACAAAATAATAAATATAAAATTCCAGGCTTTTACCAGGATTTTCCAGATCTATTGCTAGAACAATTCCAATAATTAACTTTTAGTTATCAAAAATAATTTAATTCAAAATTCATAAAAAGTTACCACAGCCGATAATCAGCAGAAGATGAAAAATTATTTTTTGAGCGAAAAAAATTAGCAAACTTCTGTTTGCTAACAATTGTTAGCTTACAAATTTTTTACTAGTCCCAAACTATTGCTAGAACAATTGCAATTAATATCTGGGTCATCAAAATTAATTTAATTCACAATTTATAAAAAGTTACCACAGCCGATAATCAGCAGAAGATGAAAAATTATTTTTTGAGCGAAAAAAATTAGCAAACTTCTGTTTGCTAACAATTGTTAGCTTACAAATTTTTTACTAGTCCCAAACTATTGCTAGAACAATTGCAATTAATATCTGGGTCATCAAAATTAATTTAATTCACAATTCATAAAAAGTAACCACAGCCGATAATCAGCAGAAGATGAAAAATTATTTTTTGAGCGAAAAAAATTAGCAAACTTCTGTTTGCTAACAATTGTTAGATTACAAATTTTTTACTAGTCCCAAACTATTGCTAGAACAATTGCAATTAATATCTGGGTCATCAAAATTAATTTAATTCACAATTCATAAAAAGTAACCACAGCCCATAATCAGAAGAAGATGAAAAATTATTTTTTGAGTGAATTTTTACTTCTGTTTGCTAACAATTGTTAGCATACAAATTTTTTACTGGTCCCAAACTATTGCTAGAACAATTGCAATTAATATCTGGGTCATCAAAATTAATTTAATTCACAATTTATAAAAAGTAAATAGTAATTAATAAAAATAATGTATACGAATTACGAAAACAAAAATAAACTTAAAGAAATTTATATTTCAACAATAATTGATAAAGATATATAAATTAAGGTCAAGGCTGTATGTGATTGCAATCAAAATTAGATAAAAATTACGATTCAAGCAAAATTTGAATGAAAACATTCTTTTATAATTGAATCGAGATATTTATTAAAAAAAAATATAAAAAATACGATAACTATAAATATAATAAATATTATAGATAGATAAGAATTAATAGATTAATATTAAATATTAAAACTAAATCTTCATAATATTGATATTAAAATAAATGATTAATCATATTGATGTTGAAATTAAACATTAATAATATTGATATTAAAATAAAATGTTCATAATATTGATATTGAAATTAAATATTAATGACATTGATATTAGAATAAAATCTTTATAATATTGATATTAAAATTAAATATTAACAATATTGATAGAAATATTAATTATAATGGTATTAAAATTAAATACGAAAATATTAACTTTGAAATTAAATATAAAAATACTCACATCGAGGAGTCTTTGAATTCTCTTGATAGAAACCCACGATTCCGTGAGTCCAATGAAAACCCAAGGATACATATTTAATGGTGTTATTAACATGTTCATCAATGCCATTGTGGTGAAAACCGTCTTTGCATCTAATTCATTGCCAAGTAACACATAAGTAATGAATGTGAATACAGAAATAAAAACTTGTGTTGCAGCCCAAAAATAGACACACAATGCATCTAAATATTTTCTCCCCGACAGGTATTTCACCTCTTTATCTCTCAATTCTAGAAAAATTGTGAAAATATAAAGCAAATTTAATTAAAAATCAAATTTCCAAAAAGAAAATTTTTTTTCTTCTTTCTTTTTCTTTTTTAAAACTTACTCATTATATTTCGCATAAAATGCTCTTCCCAAACGTTTAATTTTATTGTCGTAATTCCCCTGAGTGTTTCGGCAATAATTCTCACTCGTTGATCCTTAAAGGACATCATTTTCGTACTCAAGGTTCCCATTTTATTGGCAATGTATTTATTTATGGGAATCATTACTATTGATACTCCGACTCCAACTAAGAACGAAATTCCAATTTGATTGTGGAGAAAATAAAATATTACGGACAACTGAAACAGAAAAAATACAATCTTAGGAAGAGTTTTATTTTTCTTTTCGATTTTTCAGTCTTTTTATAAGTGATTCTTCATTTTATTGATTTTTTTATTTTATTATTTTTTTATTTTTAATTTCTATTTGTTTTTATTTTGTTACGTATTGAAATTAAATACCTGTATGGGAACACTCCATAATGCGTGAAAGGAGGGACAAAAATTCATTATTCTATCGCTGTCCAAACTCATGAAATTAACAATTTCTCCACTCGAGAAATTTTCGTTTAAAACTGAAGCCGATGTATGCAAAGTTTTTCGATAAACGAGCGTAATTATCGCACTTCGCATTTTCAGTGTTATAACCGACAGCCAAAAATTAAAATGTACGTTGCAAAATGTTCCTAAAAATAAAGATTATACAAAATTAAATATATATATAATTAAAATTAAGATCAACTTGCAGAAAAATAAGAATTAATTGAAAAAATTTTCTTAACATTTGCTAGTAGAAACATAATTCTCACCTATTAAAGTAATAAGAAACATCATAGACGCATAAAAATATCCATGCTGAATTGGTTCGGTTTTATCCTGAATAAAACCGAGGAGTTTATTTAAAATGAGCGGACCAGCAAAACCAGCGCAATCAGCGATTAATTTCAATAAACCAATGGCATAAAAATGAAAACCAAAATTCGAATGTAAAATACGAAGTAAAGAAACTTTACTCGCAGATCTAGTAAATTCGACACTTGGTCCACTTTGAGATGAACTATCCTCCTGCTTCTTCAATGGCTAAACGAAAAAACAAAAGAGAACTTTTTTTAGTTTTTAGAAGCTAGTTTTCATTAATTTTCATTTTCATAAATTTACAATTTTACACTTGAAGATTTTTCATAAATTTCTTTTGAGAATTCAATTATTTTCACAAAATTTGTAAGTAAATTTCTTTAAAAGTTGAATTTCAAAAATTGTAATAATAATATTTGAAATAAATCAATTATTTTCAATTAAATCTTTTTAAAATTTCAATTATTCCAAATTATTTTAATTGTATATTTCGAAAATTTCATTAGAAAAATTCAAAAATAATTTTTGAATGATTTGTTTAGTTATTTTTCACACTAGAAAAATCGAAATAATTCGCAAATTATACTAAAATTGTGATTTTTTGTGGCAAAACTTGGAAGAAAAGTGGAAAAAGTCATAATATCCAAAGCCTGTAGTTTGAAAAAATATTTTTGATTACTAATTTCTGTAAAAATAAAAAATTCTTACAATTTCTTTCAAGTGTTTATCAATATCGCTGCTGATTGTCGACGAAGAAATGCTATCAGGCAAATCATAGAGATCGTCAGATTGATTTAAAAGTCCCTTCACGCCTTTTGACATTAATGGCGTGACCCAGTGGAAAAGTAATTTCGAAGTGAACGGAACACTCTCCAAAGCAACTCCAAGATAACTTGGATCATTTTCCTCTACAAATCGAATGTACGACGAGCCTGGACTGTTAATTAAAGACGTACGTTCTCCTGTCTAGAAAAAAAATCAATTAATAATTATTTCTTTAAATAATAAAATTTTATCTTTTTACAAAAAAAATAAAATTTTATTTTCTTTTATTCATTTTCTTGAAGTTTAAAATTTTGGGAAAATAAAATACCAACATCTGCAAATCTCGACGATCTTCTCTGTGAATTAGCTCGTCGATCCGGTATCAAAGTGAAAATATACAAAATCAATAGCACAACGTTCGTGATACTGAAACCCAGTGACAAATTCGGTAGAACATCATCTCTCGGTATCTGATCAATATGATGCTTTAGAAACAATGCCGAAATTCCAAGTAATAAAATAATTAACACTCGCATAAAAACTGGACCACGAGGATTAATCATATTACTCTTTCTCAAACTGAGTGTAAAACAAAAATGTACAATCCATGCCAAACCTTCAGTTCCAGCAACTAAATAATCAACCGGCTTTGCCGAAGTAGCTTTATCGTTTAGTTGCGAAAAATTCTCCTCTTCGAAAATTTCTTTTTCTACTTTCTTTGGCAAAATTCCTCCACCATGCCTGTTTGGTAGAAGAAATAAATTTATCACACTCTGAGTATCATTTATCTGTCCTTCTATTTTTCTCATCCAATTGGAAAATGTTGGAACTGGAGTCGTTGTTGTTGTTACTCTTTCTGTCGTCGTTTCAATTAAATAATTTGTTGTCTTTAAATCGAGATTCACTGTGAGGGTTGTGTTCGACAATATAATATAGGCTTTTATTATTGGAAGAATTCCCAAACATATGATTAAAATCAAACGAAAATTTATCGATTTTGTGGAGAAATAGTCGCGAGATATTGAGTAACTTTGCCGACCGCAATAGTACGCTGATGTTATTGCAATTAACACTAAAACTGGAATCTGAAAATAAAATATCGAAATTGGAGTATTTAGACACAACTGACAAGACAGTCTAATTAATTGATAATTAATTCATAATTTTTAATCAAGAGAGAAATTACCTGTAAATATAACTGTTGAAAACATAATCCAATATTATGAGTCTCAGGATTCACGGGCCTTATGCTTCCTTGATAGCCACACAATTCGGTCCAATTCCATCTCCAGGAACCTCCACTGTCCTGGACTAATTCTAAATTCTCCATAATCGCTATTTTTTACACCATATCAAATTTTTTTTGTTTTGAAAGAATTATTCTGCAAACAATTTTTATTTTTTATTTATAAATCAAAGAATAAGTTTTGATTATTCAGTTTAAGAACATGTAATTTAAAGAGTGACTATAATTTAGACGAAAATAATAGAACACAGTAAAGTAATACGATTTACAAAAAGAGTTTTAAAACATTTAAATTGGAATAAACCCTAAAAATTAAAAATTAATTTTCTTTTGTCGATTTCAATCAATGACAATCACTTTTTTCGATAAACAAAAGAAAATAAAACTTGACGATATTGTTAAAAATCAAAAACTTTAATACTTTTTGAGGATAAAATTAATTTATCTGAATCACGACATAGTATGACGCATGCCACTGACACAGAATTTGCTAAAAATGCAATCATTAATCATTTAGAAAAAAAAAAACAGATAAGACAATGGGGAAAATTTGCAATATTTTTGACAAGTGAACATAACCTCTGTTACTCCGAAATGAAAATAGATCTTTAGAATTTAGATATAAATGTCATTTTACCATACCTTTGTTATTTTTACAATATTATCGTTAACGGTATTTAACAATTGATCCAAATTCCATTATTTCGGTGGTAAATAAATAAATATACGTAATATTTATCAAATATATTTACAACATTTACAAATTATACAAGCATTACAAATTCTTTAGAAGTTTCACTGGTGTCAGGAAGAGTGCCCAGACGTAGAATGTTTCTACGCCATTGTCACTGTTTATAATTTCTTAGCCTCTGTTAAGTTGACGATTTTCTAAAATATTTATACGATTTATACATAATTTATGAAGCAAATAAATGGAGTAATTACTGTAGTTTTTTACATTATGGATCGCTTGTGTTTTTAAACAAAGAATCATAAAAAATTTGCTGATATTAAAGAAAATGTGCTTTATATATTCAAAATACAGTGAATTTATAGGTTATGTTTCTTTAAATTCAAACTTATTTTGATCATATTTCATGTGATTCTTGAAAAAAGGTAAACTTTAATTAACTCCATATTTATTTAACTGTATTTAATAATTTATAATTTAATTATTTACAGGCTTCACACTCAATAATTAATTTTAAAAAAGTATCAAAAAGTAGCTTTAATACTGAAAAAAATAGTAAAAAAAAAGTAGCTATCGAAAATTAATTTTAACGAATAAAAAGAAAATTGTTTTAGTCGATTCACAAAAATTTGATTCAGTATTTTATTTGGAATTCTTCCCTGCCTGTTTCCTGATTTCAATGAAAAATATTCAGTTTTATTCTAATCCTGCTTCTAAATTTTTGAAGAATTCAATTATTTACTAGATTTTTATCCTAAAAAATACCATTGTATTTTAGTAATTTTTAAAAGTAAACAAATAAAATTCTTTAATAAAATTTAATTTAAATTGTTCACAGGAATTAAAAAAATAAATTAATAATTTTTCAAAGTAAAAATTTAAATATTATTACAGTTTTACAACAATTAAAATTTTCAACGATGTCAATTTAATAATTCTTTTAATAAATAATATTTTGAATAATTGAATAATTCTCAAAATTTAATTGTTATAAAGAATTTATCAATTTTTTAAAAAATAATTCAATTTCTTAGAAAAATTTTGATATTTATGAAAATAATTGAATTTGTACGAAGAATTTAACTCAATTTTTTTTAAGTTATTGAATTCTGGTGAAAAATTTTATTATTTGGAAAAATAATTGAATAATTGTGAAGAATTCAAGAAAGAATTCAAGAATTTATCAATTTTTTGAAAATTAATTGAATTTCTGAAAAGATTTTTTCTATTTATGTTAAAAATTATAGAGAAAATTTATGAAGTAAATTTGATCCTGTGCCCTTTTAATATCCAAAAGTCTCAATTACTATTTTTAAGGGACGAAAAACCATCTTCAGTAATGGATGAAAAAAATTCTATGGAGGAAATCACGGAAAATGGTGTCAAATCGGAAAATATTTCCCTACAACAAGAGAATGAAGAAAATTCCCCGTTGATTGCAGAAATGTTGGACCATTTAGCAAAATCCAAAGCCTTCTTTAAATCGGAACAAAAAACCGATCCAGAATTATCATTTGACGAAAAACGAAATGTAGCATCGAATCTCCTAAAGAAGAATCCCTCACAATTTTTATCAAGATTCGGTCACTTTTTAAAAAAAGAACATTTGGATTATTTTACCAAACTCAGTGATAACAATTATGAATTATCGTTTCACATAAACCGGTTAAGGAGAAATTTCCAATTGACATCGAAGGGAAAAACAAAAATGGAAATTGACGTGAAAAATCGTAGATTCGAAGCACTAAAATCCCTAATTGACAAGGGTCAATATTTCAGTGAAACCGAAATGATGAAACGAAATCCCCTTCTCTATGAGCATCTGATAGGAAAATATTTGACGGAAGATGAAAAGAAAGCTCGTGACAATATTGATACACAAAATATTACTTTCGTCAATTTATTAATGGAGAGTATCGATAGAAATATTGTTAGAAGTTTCAAGCAAGATCAACAGGATGCTGAGAATGACGTTGAGGAGGAATGTGACTCGGATGAGGAGAGTGAAGAAGAAAAAGAAAAAGAAGAAGAAGACGATGAGGATAAGTGCAAAAAGACAACAAAGACAGAGGACAAAAAATGGGGCGAAATGTCACATCCAAAGGACATGTACGAGGCCGAGGAACATGAGAGGCAACGAGACTTATTTTGGTACCATATTCCTCAAAAGGAACAACAAATGTTACGACAAGAATTCATCACGAATATGTATCAAAGTTTCCTAGATGGCCGAGATATTGATTTCGATTACAGGTACTCTAATTCTTATAAACAATAAAAAAAACTATTCATTTTTCTCAGTCACAGTTTTTCTAAGGAAATAAAATTGAGACTTTTGATACTCGATAATTAATTTTAAAAAATTAGCAAAAAATAGCTTAAAGACAGTACTTTTTTTTACTTAAAGAAAGTAATAAAAAAGTAACTATCAAAAAATTAAACTTGACGATTCAATTTTTTTATAATTTCTTAATTACATATTTTTGCGACGAATTTTATAAAAATCTACAGAACAATTTTTAAAATAATAATTTCTTCCACCAGTACCGTTGATGAGAATGAAGCCTACGATAATGTTGAATTAAGAACACAAGACGAGGAGGAAAAGTATTTCGATTCAGAATCGCCAGAAATAATTGCTAATGAAAAAGCAATGGATGAAGATGAATCCGAGGATGAACTTGACGCCTACATGAAGACTCTAGAGGTTAATTAATTCATAATATTGATGACAATGTATAACATAACGTTCAATGTTATTAATTTTTCGCCAATTATCTCCAATTTATTTATTTTTAATAGGGAAGTTCGACAAATCAAGTTGACCTGGAAACTGATTTGAAAAAGAAATAGTTTATAAGTTTGCTGTTAATGTTCGGAAATTAGGAAAATAAATGCTATTTTGTATATTTATCTGTTTCTTCTTCTTCTATTCAAATGGTGTCCTGTCTCCTCCCACACAACACCGAAACTTTTCTAAAAATTTATTAAATATTTACTTGCACAACTTTGGAGCATTTACTTGCAAAGCTTAGTGACAATTGTGTAAAGATTTCAATTTAAATTAAATAATTATTTAATTAATTTAATTTAATTTTTAATTTAATTTAAATTTTTATTTATTTAAATTTAAAAAATTTAAATACTTCAATAAATGTTCAGCGTGAAACTTTCCTGAACATTTAAATTACATTTTCTCCTATAGAGATTTGGAAATTTAATTGTAATGTTCCAGGCTTCAGATCGACTAAGGCGCAAAATATTTTGACCCTTTTTGAATATTTATTTTTTTATTTTCTACTTCTACTGACGAATTTTTATTTTAAAAAATATGCGACGCGCTCAGAAGAAAGGTCAGTGACGGATTAAGGCAAATTGAGAGCATAATAATTTTTAAAGCCCTCTGCCAAAAGGTGGAGACTAATTTAATAAGTAAAGTGTTTTTAAGAGCCCAAAAATAATGAAGCTAAATGGCATACAAAAGAAGAAAAAATGTTGAAGTTTAAGAAATTCGGTTTTTTTTGTTTTTGATAATTTTTGAAAATTTTAGATTTTTTACCAAAGGGTGGAGATTTTTAAATAAGTAAAGTATTTTTCAAGAGCCCAAAAATATGGAAGCTAATTGCCATAAAAAAGAACAAAAAATGTTGAATTTTAAGAAATTCGGTTTTTCGAATATTTGATATTTTTTGATAATTTTAGATTTTTTACCAAAGGGAGGAGATTTTTAAATAAGTAAAGTATTTTTCAAGAGCACAAAAATAATGAAGCTAAATACCATAATAGAGAAGAAAAAATGTTGAATTTTAAGAAATTCGGTTTTTCGAATTTTTGATAATTTTTGAAAATTTTAGATTTTTTACCAAAGGTTGGAGTAATTAAAATAAGTAAAGTATTTTTAAAGAGAACAAAAATATTGAAGCCAAATGCCATAAAACAGAAGAAAAAAATTTGAATTTTTAGAAATTTGGTTTTTTGAATTTTTGAATATTTTTGATAATTTCAGATTTTTTACCAAAGGGTGGAGATTTTTAAATATGTAAAGTATTTTTCAAGAGCACAAAAATATTGAAGCTAAATGCCACAAAAGAGAAGAAAAAATGTTGAATTTTAAGAAATTCGGTTTTTCGAATTTTTCATAATTTTTAGTACTTTAAAATTTTTAACTAAATTGTAGAGACTATAAAGGTAAACAAAAAGTTGTAGGTTGTGTTTATGATTTTTTGAGTGAATAAATAGAGGATCAACTCTTCAGAAGGAGTCACATATTTTTAAAATCAGTTCATTTTTGTATACTAAATAATCTTCTTCCTATTCCTGCAAATGAAAAAAATAAATAAATGAAGGACTAAAAAAAAGGTTTGACTCATTGATAAATATAGATATAATAGCAGGTTGCACTTTGCTGCAAGTCACCTGTTTATTCATTGTTTAGTTGATAGGCAATTTTTCTATTTCTTTTACCCACACACACGGTGATGCAACTCAAGTTAAATCTATCAGTCGTCATGCAGTTCTCACTAAATCAAGACGGAATTATATATTAACCTTAATATCAAGTCAAGAAAGTTATCTCTTTCTCTAAAATTTGACACAACGAAATAAAAAAATAGTTCAAAAGTAAAATTAGTCGAATTTATAAAATTACTAAATGTGAATTAAAAAATTATCCTCTAAGAAAAAATGGCATCAATTGAGATACTCTGCATAGTCGCTGTAATTTTACTCTTCCTCTACGTCTACAGTTCAAAAAATCATGACTTTTGGAAAACACAAGGAGTCAAAGGTCCCGAGCCAATACCATTTTTGGGAAATTTCAAAGACGTTTTACTAAATCGTTTAGCGCCGGGTCAATTGGCAAAAATATTTTACGATCAATTTATTGATGAATCAATGATTGGCGTCTATGCTCGTAGTACACCGATATTAATATTAAAAGATCCGGAATTAATCAAAGACGTTCTTATCAAGGATTTTAATAAATTTGCCGATCGTGGTTTGCCATTGAATGAAAAAATTGAGCCACTTTCGCAAAATCTTCTTAATCTCGAACCAAAACGCTGGCGACCATTGAGAAAGAAATTATCACCTGTTTTCACTTCGGGTAAATTGAGAGAAATGTTTTTTCTCCTTCTAGAAAGTGGAAATCATTTTGAAACATATTTAAGGAAAATTGTACCAAAAAATAAACCAATAGAATGTCGGTTATTAACATCAAAATTCACAATGGACGTAATTGGTTCCTGTGCATTTGGCATCGATATTAATACTCTGTCAGATGAAGAAAATGATTTTATAAGAATGGGAAGAGAAATTTTTGATCTCGATTTTTGGAGATCGATTAAGAGAAAAATTAGGGAATTAGCGCCTGGATTATTTTCATTATTGGGACCAATAATGAAAAATAAGGAATTGGATAATTTTTTCACTAGTTTAATAACGGATACAATGAAATTTAGAAAAGAGAATAATGTCGTTAGACATGATTTTGTTGATTTATTGAGATACGTGAAAGAAAATCCGGAGAAATTGGATGATATTGGTGAGTTGATATATTTAGAATTAAATATTAAAATAAAATGAAAATTGAATTAAAATTGAAAGAAAATTTCTTCTTTTTGTAAATTTTTGCAGAAATGACCGACAGTTTAATAGCTGCACAATGTTTTATATTTTTTGCTGCTGGGTTTGAAACTTCTTCTACAACAATGAGTAATGCTTTGTATGAATTAGCACTCAATCCGTCTGTACAAGATAAACTTCGAAATGAAATTCAACAAGTTTTAAATAAATCAGAGGGAAAGTTAACTTACGACAATGTCAAGAGTATGAAATATTTACATAAAGTTTTTCAAGGTAAGTAAACCATTTTAATTTAATGCTTTCTTTAAAGATTTTTTTTATAGCTTAATAGAAATTTGTGCTTTTGGAAAGTAAATAAAAATATATAAAATTAAAATAAAGAACATTAGCATAAATCAAATTAAAATAAAAACCAGTAAAATAAATAAAATTAAAGTAAATAACAATAAAATAAATAAAATTAAAATAAGTAAAATCAATGAATAAATTCATTTCAATATAAAAATAAATAATACAAACAGTAAAATAAGAAATTAATAAAGTAAAGAAATGAAAAATAAATAAAAATGTTTATAGAAACTCTGAGGAAATATCCACCAGCAACAATGTTAGTGCGAAGGGCCTCGGAAAAATATACATTTTCCGGTACAAATGTGACAATTCCAAAAGATACTAGAGTTTGGGTTCCGGTTTATGCAATGCACAGGGATCCGAAAAATTATCCCAATCCGGAATTATTCGATCCCGAAAGGTTTGAAGATGAGGAAATAAATTCCAGACATGCAATGGTTTATTTACCATTTGGCGAGGGACCGAGAAATTGCATTGGTAAACTATTATTAAAAATAGCACTATTTTAATTAATTTTAAATTTTGCTTCTAAAAAGTGGTTAATAATTTAATAATAAATAAAAAAAAGTCGAGAAAATAAAATAATTTAATACATAAAGTCTTGAAAGTGACATTCTCCCCACTCCGCCTTTTACGTTTCGCCTCAAACGCTAGAGTGGGGACAATGAGTGCGAGAAGGAAGTCAGAGGTTTCTCCCCACTCCAACGCTTGCTGGAGTGGGGGGAAGAAAATCTTTACGCCACCTTTAAAGCTGCAGTAAAATTCGTCATTTCACTAATTTTATTAAAAAAAAAAAAATTTTTTTTAAATTAATGTTAACTTTTAACGAATTGTAATGAATTTCAGGTGCCAGATTTGCTGTATTTCAGACAAAAATCGGTCTTATAAAAATTTTACAAAACTATCGTGTTGAAGATTGTGAAGAAACGCCGAAGCCATATGTGATAAATCCAAGGGCTTTTCTCTTGGCCCCGATAAAGGGAATCTACTTAAAATTTATAGAAATTTGTTAGCAGATAATAAATAAAATTCATCTTATATTTCCACAACTGTGAATTTATTAATTTTAACAAATAAACATAAAAAACTTTAAACTGCATTCTGCTTATTCTTTACACTAACCAATTTATTTTTTTATATTGTCGAGCTTATTAAATTAACAAAACGAAAATTCTAATACGAAAAATTTCGTTTCGGTAACAAAAACAAATTTTTTTGTCTAGAAAAATCGAAATATAATCAAAAAGGAGAGAAAGCAGCGCCACCATGACTGAGACTTTACGACGCTTAATTTTTGCAGTGTGCAAAAGTTTTTCAGTTAAGCAAGACGTAATTGTTTTTATTCATCCTCGTATTGAGTCAAGTAAGTTATCTTTGAATATTTGAAACAATGAATTTAAAAATTTAAAGCTAAAATTACTAGAATTTACTAGTAAATAAAGATGTTATAATAAGTACTAATTTTTTATTCTAAATTCTAAATTTTAAACCATGAAACGTATGTACTCAAAAATGATACTGATATAAATTTAGAATGAAGTTAAAAATTTTCTTGAAAAGCAAAGAGTAAAAAAAGACAAAAGTTAAAAAAACGTAGAAACATATAGAATAACATTAATAAAATTTTTTAAAAACAGATTTTTTCTTATGTCATACTAAAAGGAGATGATAAATGCGAATTGAACAATTATTCCACAAAGTATGGCGTTAATTGAGATACTGTGCATTGTCGCTGTAATTTTACTCTTTTTCTATGTCTACAATTCAAAAAATCTTGACTTTTGGAAAAATCAAGGAGTCAAAGGTCCTGATCCACATCCCATTTTCGGAAATTTTAAAGACATTTTACTAAATCGTCTAGCACTGGGTCAAATGGTAAAAAATTTGTACGATCAATTTATTGACGAGTCAATGATTGGAATCTATGCACTTAGTACACCGATATTAATAATAAAAGCACCAGAACTTATCAAAGACGTTCTTATCAAGGATTTCAATATATTTTCCGATCGTGGTTTGCCAGTGAATGAAAAAATTGAGCCACTTTCGCAAAATCTTCTTAATCTCGAACCAAAACGCTGGCGACCATTGAGAAAGAAATTATCACCTGTTTTCACTTCGGGTAAATTGAGAGAAATGTTTTTTCTTCTTCTAGAAAGTGGCAATCATTTTGAAACCTATTTACAGAAAATTGTACCAAAAAATGAACCGATTGAGTGTCGTTTATTAACGTCAAAATTCACAATGGACGTTATTGGTTCCTGTGCATTTGGCATCGATATTAATACTTTGTCAGATGAGGAAAATGATTTCGTGAGAATGGGTAGAAAAATTATTGTTCTCGATTTTTGGAGATCGATTAAAGGAAAAATTAGAGATTTTTCTCCTGGATTATTTTCACTATTGGGACCAATAATGAAAGATGAGGAATTGGATAATTTTTTCACTGGTTTAATAACGGATACAATAAAATATAGAAAGGAGAATCATATTGTTAGGCACGATTTTGTCGATTTATTGAGATACGTGAAAGAAAATCCGGAGAAAATGGATGATGTTGGTGAGTTAATATAATTAGAATTGTATTACAAATTTTAAATTGAAACAAATTTTCTTTTCTTTGTGTAAATTTTTACAGAATTGACCGATACTTTAATAGCTGCACAATGTTTTATATTTTTTGCTGCTGGGTTTGAAACTTCTTCTACAACAATGAGTAATGCTTTATATGAATTAGCACTCAATCCGTCTGTACAAGATAAACTTCGAAATGAAATTCAACAAGTTTTAAATAAATCAGAGGGAAAGTTAACATACGACAATGTCAAGAGTATGAAATATTTACATAAAGTTTTTCAAGGTAAAGTATTTTAATTTAATGCTTTCTTTAACCCTCTGCTGATGCTAACTTATCCCCACTCTATCGCTAAAGCACGTAACTCCCATAGTCCCCACCAGACGTCCAGAATGACGATTTTTGACGATAACGGTCGTTAGCATCAGCAGAGAGTTAAATATTGTTTTTTATAGGATGATAGAAATTTCTGATTTTGGAAAATTTGGGGAAAAATAAATAAATAAAAATGATCCATTTATAGAAACTTTGAGGAAATATCCACCAGCAACAATGTTAGTGCGAATGTCTTCGGAAAAATATACATTTTCCGGTACAAATGTGACTATTCCAAAGGATACTAGAGTTTTGATTCCAGTTTATGCAATTCATCAGGATCCGAAAAATTATCCCAAGCCGGAATTATTCGATCCCGAAAGGTTTGAGGATAAAGAAGTAAATTCGAGAGATTCAATGCTGTATTTGCCATTTGGAGAAGGACCGAGAAATTGCATTGGTAAACTTATTTTTCAAAATAAGACCATTTTAATTTAGTTTTAATTTTGCTTCTAAAAACTTATTAATAATTTAATAAAAAAGAAAAAAAGACGAGAAAATTAAATAATTTAATGCATAAAGTCGTAAAAGTTGCATGAGGTTCGTATTCTCCCCACTCCGCTTCAAGTGCTAGAGTGGAGACAATGAGTGCGAGAAGGAAGTCAGAGGTTTCTCCCTACTCTGACGCTTTTTGCTGGAGTGGGGAGAAGAAAACCTTTACGCCACTCTTAAGCCTCACCAAGATTCAACAATTCACTAATTTTATTCAAAATAAAACATTTTTAAAATAAATGTTAACTTTAAACTAATTTTAATGAATTTCAGGAGCCAGATTTGCTGTATTTCAGACAAAAATCGGACTTATAAAAATTTTACAAAACTATCATGTTGAAGAATGTGAAAAAACGCCGATGGAGTATGTGATAGATCCAAAGGCTTTTCTTTTGACTCCGAAAGAGGGAATTTACTTAAAATTTACAGAAATTTTTTAACAATAGTTTATAAATAAAATTTATTTTTTCTTTCTACAAGTGTGAATTTATTAATCTTACTGATAAAAATATAAAAAATTTCAAATACTCACTGCTTATTTTTTATCACTGTATCCAGCTAATGTTTCATACTGTCGATCTATTAAAACAAGAAAACGAAAATTTTTCCATACGGTAACAAAAAGAAGTTTTTTTATCTCGAAAAATTAAAATATAATTGAAAACGAAAAATTATTTTTTTTTTACATAGAATTAACTGATTTTAATTTTCGAGATACAAATTTTCTTCTAAACCAGAGTTGAATACTTAAGAAATTTTTTAAGTGTACCGCAATTTTTCGAAAAAAAGCTCCTTTTTAATATGAATGAACTTTTTACCTTAAAAAAGCCCTAATTTTATAATCAACTACAAAAATATTATATAAATAAATGTCAAGACCATCGTCATTTTTCAAGATATAAATATTTTCTGAATCAGAGAAGAATACTAAAGAGTTACTAAGTACTGACACGTTTCAGAAAAAAGCCCTTTTTTTTAATAAAAATGCCCTTTTTGCTAAAAAAAAAGCTCTAATTTTATAATCGACTGCAAAGATCGTATAAAAACTTTTCAAGGAAAGCTTCGTTTTTCAAGAAACAAATTTTTTCTGAATCAAAGATAAATTCTAAAAAATTTTGGAATACTTCCACGTTTTAAAAAGAAACCCTTTTTAATAAAAAAAATGCCCTTTTTTTAATATAAAAAGCCCTAATTTTATGATCGATTCCAAAAATCGTATAAAAATTTGTAAGACCATCATCCTTTTTCAAGATTAAAAATTGTATAAAAACTTTTCAAGGAAAGCTTCGTTTTTCAAGAAACAAATTTTTTCTGAATCAAACATTAAGTTAAAAAAATTTTTTGAATACTTCCACGTTTCAGAAAAAAAGCTCTTTTTTTAATAAAAATGCCCTGTTTTTTAAATAAAAACGCCCTAATTTTATAAACAACTCCAAAAATCGTATAAAAAAATGTCGAGACCATCATCATTTTTCAAGGCACAAATATTTTCTGAATTACAGAAAAATACTAAAAAGTTTCTAAGTACTGCTACGTTTCGGAAAAAAGCCTTTTTTAAAAAAAATGACCTTTTTACTTAAAAATAGCCCTAATTTTATAATCTACTCCATCGTATAAAAAAATTCTCAAGACCGCAGCTTCGATTTTTGAAGATCAAATTTTTTTTCTAAATCAAAGATGAATTTTTAAAAGATTCTGAGTACTTCTGAAAAAACCCTTTTTTTAAAAATGAAAATGCCCTTCTTTAATAAAAATAGCCGTTACTTTATAAACGACTCCAAAAAAGTGATTTTAACGATTTAAAATAACTTGCTTCTTAGGTATCTTTCTTCGGAGCGCGATATAAAAAGTTAGTTCTGCTTTGCATACTAAATTGTCCTGTTACATCTATTCTTGTAAATAAATAAATAATTAATTAAAAAAGGTTTGACTCAGTGAATAATATAGAAATTTAATGACAGGTTACACATTGCTGCAAGTCACCTGTTTATTCATTATTGTATGGTTAATAGGCAATTTTTCTATTCTTTTTACTCACACATACATACAGTCTCGTGAGGACGTAAGGCCAATAAAAATTTAATCTAACAGTCTACATGCAGTTTTCACTAAAGCAAGACGTAATTATATATATTAACTTTAGCATCAAGTCAAGTAAGTTATCTCTCAAAATTTGAAACAATAAATTAAAAAATTTAAAGCTAACATTACTAGAATTTGTATAAATAAAGATATTATCATAAGTAATGATTCTTTTATTTTAAATTACAATCTCATGAAACGTATTCAAATCACACTGAATGTAAATTTATCATGAAGATACAAATTTTCTTTTAAAAATGTTTAAAAATTTGAAAAGAAAATAAGAAAACAAGACGAAAGTTAAAAAAAACGTAAAAACAGTAGAATAACAATGAAATTTTTTAAAAACAGGTTTTTTGTTATGTAACACTAAAAAGAGATGATAAGTGCAAATTGAACAATTATTCTACAAGGTATGGCGTTAATTGCGATACTGTGCATTGTCGCTGTAATTTTACTCTTCCTCTACGTCTACAGTTCAAAGAATCATGACTTTTGGAAAAAACAAGGAGTCAAAGGTCCTGATCCACTTCCCATTTTGGGAAATTTCAAAGACATTTTGCTAAATCGTCTATCGCCGGGTGAAATGGCAAAAAATTTGTACAATCAATTTAACGATGAGTCAATGATTGGTATCTATGCTCGAAGTACACCGATATTACTATTAAAAGATCCAGAATTAATCAAAGACATTCTCATCAAGGACTTCAATAAATTTGCCGCTCGTGATTTACCAGTAAATGAAGAAATTGAGCCACTTTCGCAAAATCTTCTTAATCTCGAACCAAAACGCTGGCGACCGTTAAGAAAGAAATTATCACCTGTTTTCACATCGGGCAAATTGAGAGAAATGTTTTTTCTTCTTCTAGAAAGCGGAAATCATTTTGAAACATATTTGAGAAAAATTGTACCAAAAAATGAACCGATTGAGTGTCGTTTATTAACGTCAAAATTCACAATGGACGTAATTGGTTCCTGCGCATTTGGTATCGATATCAATACTTTGTCAGATGAGGAAAATGATTTCGTGAGAATGGGTAGAAAAATTTTTGTTCTCGATTTTTGGAGATCGATTAAAGCAAAAATTAGAGATTTCTCGCCTGGATTATTTACACTATTGGGACCAATAATGAAAGATGAGGAATTGGATAATTTCTTCATTAGTTTAATAAGAGATACAATGAAATATAGAAAGGAGAATAATGTCGTTAGACATGATTTTGTCGATTTATTGAGATACGTGAAAGAAAATCCGGAGAAAATGGATGATGTTGGTGAGTTAATATAATTAGAATTGTAAGTAAAAATTTTTAATAAAATTAAAATTGAATTAAAATTGAAGAAAAATTTTCTTTTCTTTGTGTAAATTTTTACAGAATTGACCGATACTTTAATAGCTGCACAATGTTTTATATTTTTTGCTGCTGGTTTTGAAACTTCCTCTACAACAATGAGTAATTCTTTGTATGAATTAGCACTGAATCCGTCTGTACAAGATAAACTTCGAAATGAAATTCAACAAGTTTTAAATAAATCAGAGGGAAAGTTAACATACGACAATGTCAAGAGTATGAAATATTTACATAAAGTTTTTCAAGGTAAATTATTTTAATTTAATATTTTTTTTTAAAGAATTTTTTTTTACAAGATTGATAGAAATTTGTTTTTTTGGGAAAAGAAAAGTGAAGTAAAAAATAAATACAGGCTTCGTCACTATAATTAATTTTTAAAAAAGTGGCAAAAAGTAGCTTCAAGACAGAAAAAAGTAGTAAAAAAAGTAGCTATCGAAAAATTCAGCTTGACGATTCAATTTTTTTTAAATTTCTTAATTACATTTAAAAATAGAATAATTTTCCAATAAAATATTTAAATACCTATACCTAAGATTTATTTTGTCTACAGGAATTAAAATATTTCAAATGATTTCAATGTAACGAATTTTTGAAATTTAACTATTTCTAAAAATTACAAAAGTTCTTTCAAAATTCAATCCTATTTTTCTTGAAATAATAAAATTATTCAAAAACTTTAATCATTTTATTTTATTCAATTCTAAATCAATTATTATTAGAAAGTTCTACTAGAATTCAATTATTTAAATACAAAAATAAATAATTTATTGAATAATTAAATCTTTCCTAAATTTGAATTCTTATAAAGAACTTTATCAACATTTTTTAAAATAATTGAATTATTACGAAGATTTGCATTAAAATTTTTGATAATAATTAATTTCATTCAAGTAATGTAATTAGAAATGAATTAGAAATAATTATTATACACTCTAAGAAACAAATTTATATGAAAATAATTGGATTTTTGTCACCGGACTTTAATAAAGTTTTTAAAATAATTTCATTCTTGAGTAGAATTTTAAAAAAATTTGTATAAGGAAATGGTTTTTTTCAAAAAAATTTGAGTATTAAATAATTGAATTTCCTTTAAAAATTGTATATTATTTATGAAAATAATTGGATTCTTTCGAAAAATTTCATTAAAAATATATTGAAAACAATTTAATTATTATAAAGAATTTCTTTAAAATTTTTTAAAATAATGGAATTCTTTCAAAGAATTTTATTAAAATTTTTAAGAATAGTTGCATTTTTCGCGCAATTCATTTAAAATTGTATTGAAATCCTACGATGAATTTTAATACAATTTTAAAAAATAATTGAATTCTTGCAACGATTATTATTAAAATTTTTAAAAAATAATTAAATACCTGAGAAGAATTTTATTATTTCCAAAAATAATTAAATTCTGCAAATGAATTCTTGCCGAGAATTTAATAAAAATCTATTCAAATAATTAATTTTTTTTCGAAACATATTAGGAAAATTATTATGTTTTAAATAATTGAATTCCTGTGAAAATTTTTTTTATTTCTGAAAATATTTGAATTTTTGTCATCGAACTTTAATAAAGTTTTTTAAATAATTGCATTCTTGAGAAGAATTTTTAAAAAATCTTCTGAAAGAAATTATTTTTTTCAAAAAATTTTATATTGAAGACAATTTAATTATTGTAAAGAATTTCATTAAAATTATTGAGTTCTTGCAACGATTATTATTAAAATTTTAAAAAGTGGTTATAAGCGAGGCCTGTAAATAATAAAATAGAAAAGTAAATCAAATAGAAGTAAAATAAAAAATAAATCAAACAGAAATAAAATAAAAAATACAAACAGTAAAATAAGAAATAAATAAAATGAAGAAATGAAAAATAAATAAAAAATACACCTTTTTATAGAAACTCTGAGGAAATATCCACCAGCTACATTGTTAGGGAGAAAGGCTTCGGAAAAATATACATTTTCTGGGACAAATGTGACAATTCCAAAAGATAGTAAAGTTTGGATACCAGTTTATGCAATTCATCGGGATCCAAAAAATTATCCAAAACCGGAATTATTCGATCCCGAAAGATTTGAAGATGAGGAAATAAATTCGAGACATCCGATGCTCTATTTGCCATTTGGCGAGGGACCGAGAAATTGCATTGGTAAACTATTTTTCAAAATGAGACCATTTTAATTTATTTTTAATTTTTGCTTCTAAATAGTGATTAATAATTTAATAAAAAAGAAAAAAAGACGAGAAACTAAAATAATTTAATACATAAAGTCTTAAAAGTGGCATTCTCCCCACTCCGCCTTTTACGTTACGCTTCAAGCGCCAGAGTGGGGACAATGAGTGCGAGAAGGAAGTCAGAGGTTTCTCCCCACTCCAACGCTTGCTGGAGTGGGGGGAAGAAAATCTTTACGCCACCTTTAAAGCTGCAGTAAAATTCGTCATTTCACTAATTTTATTCAAAATAAAACATTTTGAAACTTAATTTTAATTTTAATCTAAATGTAATGAATTTCAGGTGCCAGATTTGCAATATTTCAGACAAAAATCGGTCTTATAAAAATTTTACAAAACTACCGTGTTGAAGAGTGTGAAAAAACGCCAAAGGAATATGTGATTGATCCAAGTGCTTTTCTTTTGGCTCCAAAGGAAGGAATTTACTTAAAATTTACCGAAATACCTTAACAAATGTTAATAGATTAACAAATATTTTTCCTACTATTAATTTTAAAAATAAGAATAAAAAATTTCTAACTGCTTTCTCTCTGCTTATTCTTTACACTATCCTAGTGATTTTAAATAATAAATTGACTAATAAATTAACTATATCTTGTATAATAAATCTTTTTTTAAACTAAATGCAAATTAATTAAATTTACATTAAATAAAAAGCGACATCAAAATTAAATTGATTAATTAAAAAGAAATGAATTCAACCTTATTTTATAAGTAAAACACTATTCTCGAATTAAAATTTTTTTTCTAAAACTATCTACTCTAGGTTGTATATCAGCAAAGTCATTTTAATATTTATCCAATTAAGATATAGATCATTTTCTCATTACACGAGAATTTATTTTATGTACACAAGATATATGACAAACTTGTTATCATCAAGCATTAGACAAAAATTTATTTTTGTATTCCACACGTGAAAAAAAGTAGTATTTAACAATATAATTAACACAAATTTGCATTAAATTATTTTTCAAATTCATTTTTAATTTGCGTCATTACTTTCAAATTTCAGTGTAATTTTCATAATTGTCTTAATTTGACGTTAAACAACACTTCTATTTTTAATTTAAAAAAAAAACAATTTTTTTCATACCATACGAAAGAAATCTTTTGTTTTTAAATTGAGAAAACGTTAATAAAAAAAAATGTTTTTCCAACTTGTTGAAATTGTAATTATTTTAATTGCACTAAAGCTGTGCATTCAAGCCTCTAAAAAACTCTTTTGCAACGATTATTGAAAAAAAAAAATTATTCAAGTAGGTGCAAACTGCAATTTTTGTTAAAAGACTATAACTTCTCTAATTAACAATTCTAGAAAAAAAACTTTATTATTATTATTTTATTTCTTTATTTACTATTTATTAAACAAAATATAATTAAGAAAACGATTAAATTCGATTACTTTCAAGAGTTTGTAGTAGAATTATTAAAAAAAAAATCATTTATTTCCAAGAAAATTGAAATTAATTTTTTTAAAACAATTCAATTATTTTCAAATTTTTTTATAAATACTTTACAATTATTCAATGATTTTCAGTCCTGAGAAAAAATTTATTAGTTTTGAAAATAATTGAATTTTTTGCAAAATTAAAAAAAATAATTGAATTTTTGAGAAGAATTTTATTGAAATTGTATTTAAAATAATTGAATTCCTGTGAAAAAATTACTATTTATTGATATTATTGAATTCTTACGGAAAATTTTTTAAAAAATGTTTTAAAATAATTTAATTTTCCCTTGAATTCGCAATTAAAAATGTACCTATTTGAATAATTGAATTTCAGCAAAAATTTCATTATTTTTATAAAAATAATTGAATTCTTGAATTGGATTTTATTTAAAATTTTTTAAATAATTGAACTCTTAGGAAAAATTCAAATTTTTTTTTTAAGATAAAAAATTTATTATTTCTATAAAAATAATTGAATTTTTTTAAGAAGATTTTTATTATTTATAAATTGACTAAAGAATTTTATTTCAATTATTGAAAATAATTCAATTCTTCATAAAATTCAATTATTTTCAATTTTTTCGATAAAATTCTTTACAAGAATTCAATGATTTTTAATACATTTATTTTAAACGTAAAAATATTTAAAAGGAAAAATCATTAAAAAAGTTGTGAAACAAAAAATTTATTATTTCTAAAAATAATTGAATTTTTTTTGCAAAATTTAAAAAGATAATTGAATTTTTGAGAAGAATTTAATTAAAATTATATTTAAAATAATTGAATTCTTGTGGAAAATTTACTATTTATTAATATTATTAAATCCTTTCGAAGAATTTAAAAAAAATGTTTAAAAATAATTTAATTTTCCTGGAATTCAATTAAAATTGTATTTAAAATAATTGAATTCTTGAATTGAATTTTATTAAATGTTTTTTAAATAATTAAACTGCTGTGAAAATTCAATTATTTTTTAAAATAATTGAATTTTCTCTAAGAATTTTTACAAGATTTTAAAAAATAATTGAAATTTTTGAAAAAATCAATTAAAATTGTATTGAAAATAAATAAAATCCTGATGAGAATTTTATTATTTAAATAAAAACAATTGAATTTTTTACGAAGATTTTTATTGTTTATAAATTGACTTCTTGCAAAGAATTTTATTACAATTATTGAAATTAATTGAATTCTTGATAAATTTCAATACATTTCAAAATTTTCAGTAAAAATTATTTTAAAAAACTTCTCTATTTTCAAGAATATTGAAATAAATTCTTTAAAACAATTAAATTATTTTAAGGAATTTTAATAAAAATCTTGTCAAGAATTTATTTATTTCTAAAAATAATTGAATTATTGAGAAGAATTTGATTAAAATTGTGTTTAAAATAATTGAATTCCTGTAAAAAATTCATACTATTTATTGATATTATTGAATTCTTTCGAAGAATTTAAAAAAAATGTTTAAAAATAATTTAATTTTCCCTTGAATTCGCAATTAAAAATGTACCTATTTGAATAATTGAATTTCAGCGAAAATTTCATTATTTTTATAAAAATAATTGAATTCTTGAATTGGATTTTATTTAAAATTTTTTAAATAATTGAACTCTTGGGAAAAATTCAAATTTTTTTTTTAAGATAAAAAATTTATTATTTCTATAAAAATAATTGAATTTTTTTAAGAAGATTTTTATTATTTATAAATTGACTAAAGAATTTTATTACAATTATTAATAATAATTGAATTCTTCATAAAATTTAATTATTTTAAAATTGTTTAATAAAATTCTTTACAAAACTTCAAAAGTAAACAACAATTAACTTCAAACTGCGAACAGATTACCGGAATACTACGATTATTAATATAGAAGAATATTATTACTATTATTGTTATTAATATTATTATTATTATTTTTTCATTATAATAAAAAAAATTGACTTTATATTTATTTAATTATTTTTTGTTGTTGTAAATTTTACGCGACAACAAAATACCATTTACAATAACAACGAAGTATTAATAATTAAATTAAATATCCAGAGTACTGTGAAGGTGAAAGTTGCAAATTCTCTTCATAAAAATATTATGCTGCTTTGCGATGAATAGACAATAATTTTTTTTTATGCAAATCGTAATAAGGATAATGTTAATTTTAAAAGCAGATGAGTTTAAAAAAAAAAGACGTTGAGAATGACTTTATATCCAAATGTTCTGATAATAATGAAAATATAATTTTTTCTTTTCAATTTTCCACGGTAATGATGAAATTTTCTTACTAGTGTATAAGACGATGAAAGGTGCACTGTCATCGTTAATCAGTGGTTACAGAAGTCCTGAGTCACATTAAATTACTCTGCTTCCTCTTTATATACACTATGTTTGGTTGCACTCACTATTAGTCTTTCGTTCAGTTTTGCTCCGTTTAGTCTCTTAAAATTCAACTCAATTTTAAAACAAAAAAAATGGCCAACAATAAAGAATTTGGTCCAAACAGTTAGACCCCATCGACAACAATTAAAACAAAAAATTAAAACAAACAATTAAAAATTTAATTTAAAAGAAATTTTAAAAAATCGATGTTTGTAAAAACGCAGTTCATAAAAGCAAAGTTTTGTAAAAAATTAATTTTTAAATAAAGTAATTTCTAAATAAAGAAAATAGGTTCGAAAGTAAAAAAAATCTAGTGCAGTGTGTGAAAAGAGGGAGATTATTTTTTCTTTAAGTAAAAAAAGCAAAAAAAAAAAAAATGGGACCATTCGAAATTTTGTGCATCATAGCGGGAATATTTCTCTTCCTCTATTATTACAGTACATCGACACACAATTTTTGGAAAAATCAAGGTGTCAATGGACCAAAACCAGCGCCACTTTTTGGCAATTTCACCGATCTCATGTTAAATCGAATAAATTTGGGTGACTATACAAAAAAACTTTACGAACAATTCATCAATGAGCCAATGATTGGAATGTACGCGAGAAGAACACCAATTTTACTGCTCAAAGATCCGGAACTAATAAAAGATGTTCTAATAAAAGATTTCAATAAATTTGCCGATCGTGGTATTAATATACATGAGAAAGTTGATATATTATCACCGCATTTATTTTCCCTTGAGCCAAAACGTTGGCGACCATTGCGCAAAAATTTATCGCCCGTCTTTACATCAGGTAAATTGAAGGAAATGTTTCATTTATTAATTGAAACATCAGAGCGTTTAGATGTTTATTTAAAGAATGTTGTCGTTGAAAATGAACCAACTGAATGTAGGAAATTAACGGCAAAATTCACCACCGACGTCATTGGTTCGTGTGCATTTGGAATTGATATTAATGCACTGTCGGATGATGAAAATGAATTTTTGAGAATGGGAAGAAAAATTTTTGATGTCACTTTTTGGAGAACATTGAAAATGAGGATTAGAGACATTACTCCGTGGTTGTATGGAATACTTGGACCGATAGTCGCTGAGACGGAGATGAATAATTTTTTTGTTAATTTGATAAAAGATACGATGGAATATAGAAAGAAGAATAATGTCGTTAGGCATGATTTTGTTGATTTGTTGAGACATGTGAAGGAGAATCCGGATCGACTGGGTGATCTTGGTAAAATTTAATGTTAATTTTTTTTATTTTTAATAATATTTATTGACTTTGCACTTATCTACTAAAACCTACTATTTACTACTTTTTTACGTCATGCTACTATTTTACTACTTTTTTAGATTTCAGCCACTAAAAGCTACTATTTCTGGTTTTTTTTTAGAATTTCCACTACTTTAAATTCGCTAATACTAGAAATCAAAAAACTATTCTCAAAAATTAAAATCAAATTCTTAAGATTCAATTATTTTCAAAAAAATATTCGAAATTCAATTATTTTTAATATCTAGTATTTCCATAAAAAGCAAAAGAATTCAATTATTTTTAAAACAAATTTATAAAATTCATCCAAAATTCAATTCTCTTCATAAATAATAAAATTCCCATAAGAATTCAATTACATAATTTAGAACAGCATTTTCAAAAAAGTTACGAAAAAATCAATTATTTAACACAATTTTTATACAATTCTTCACAATAATTCAATTACTTTCACTAATAATAACATTTTTCATGGAAATTCAATTTTTTCAAAAGATTTTTAATAAAATTTTAAGGAAGAATTCAACTATTTTCATAAATAATAAAACTCATTGAAGAATTTATTTTATTTTCTTTAACTTTATTTTTAAAAATAAAGTTTTCCACGAGAATTCAGTTATTTAAAATAAAATTTCCATAATATTTATTACATTTCGAAAAAATGTATTTATTTAAAACAATGTTTATAAAATTCTTATGAAGTCAATTATTTTCAAAAATAGCAAAATTTTTCAGAGAAATTCAATTCTTTCTGAACTTTCTTTTTGAATTTGTTGAATTATAAAATTCTCCCAAGAATTCAATTATTTACATAAATAATTTTTCGAAAGAATTCAATTATTTAAAAAATAAATGTTCATAATATTTATTATATTGAAAAATTAATGATATAAAATAATGTTTATAAAATTCTTATAAAAAATTCAATTATTATTTTCAAAAATAACAAAATTTTTCGCAATAATTCAATTATTTTCATAAATAATAAAATTCTTCTCAGGAATTCAATTATTTTTGAAAATTTTAATAAAATTTTAAAAGCAACTATTCAATTATTCCTTTAGATTTTAATAAAATGGTCCACAAGAATTCAATTATTTACATAAATAATTGAATTTTTGGAAGAATTTCGAAGTTTATCAAGATAATTGAAATATTGACGAGGTTTTTTTTAAAAATATTTTAAAATAATTGAATTCATAGGATGAATATTGTTATTGAAGAAAGTAATTGAATTTCGCAAACAATTATTTCGATAAATAATGAAATTATTTCCAAAAATTCAATTATTTTTAGGCATTTTAATGAAATTTTTTGCAAAATTCAATTATTATCATAATTTTACAGGAATTGCTAAAAAATGTCATTATTTTTAAAAATTTAACTTCAATTTCTCAAAAAATTCAATTATTTTCAGAAATAAAGTTTTCCACAAGAAATCAATTATTTAAAAAAAATGTTCATAATATTTATTATACTTCGAAAAAATTAATTATTTAAAACAATGTTTATAAAATTCTTATGAAGAATTCAATTTGTATTTTCAAAAATAACAAATTTTTTCGAAAAAGGTCAATTATTTAAATATAGATTTTAATCAAATTTTTCGCAATAATTTAATTATTTTCACAAATAATAAAATCCTTCTCAGGAATTTAATTATTTGAAAATTTTAATAACATTCTTTGCAACTATTCAATTATTTTCATAAATAATGAAATTCATCGCGGGATTTCAATTATTTTTAATACAATTTTACAGGAATTGCTAAAAAAAGGTCATTATTCTTAAAAATTTAATTTCAATTCCTCGAAAAAATCAATTATTTACGAAAATATTAAAATTTTTCACAAGAATTAAATTATTTTCAAATATTTAAATAAAATTCTCCCCAAGAATTCAATTATTCACATAAATAATTTTTCAAAAAAATTCAATTATGCTGATAAATATTCTTGAAAATAATTGAATTTTTGAAAGAATTTTGATGTTTATCAAGATAATCGAAATATTGACGAGAATTTTTTAAAAAAATATTTAAAAATAATTGAATTTTTGGGGTGAAAATTATTATTTATGAAAATAATTGAATTCTGCCAAGAATTTTATTAACATTTTTGAAAATAATTGAACTTTCGAGTTGACTTTTTTTATTTATGAGGAAAATTGATATATTTTTAAGGATTTTTTAAAAGTGTTTGAAAAATTGAATTTTTGCGAAGTATTTAATTACTTTTTGAAAATAATTGAATTCTTGAGATGAATATTGTTATTGAAGAAAATAATTGATTTTTGCAAAGAATAATGACGATAAATAACAAACTTATTCCCGAAAATTCAATTATTTTGAGGTATTGTAATAAAATTCTTTGCAAAATTTAATTATTTCTATAAATAACAATATTTATCATAAGAATTCAATTATTTTTAAAAGTAATAAATTTTGTATTGGAATTTCAAGTAGGTATTTTAAAAAATTCTAATAAAGTTCAATTATTTTTATAAATAATAATAAAATGCTTTTAGAATTTCAATTATTTTCAAAAAATAATTTTTAATATTTACTATTTTCATAAAATTCCCAAACAGAATTTTTGTGAAGTGTCTAAAACGAGTTTTTTGGTCGTCAAGTTTAATTTTTCGATAGTTACTTTTTTACTACGTTTTTTAGTTTGAAAGCTACTTTTTACTACTTTTTTAAAATTAATTATCGAGTGCGAAGTTTGTATTTATTGTTATAATAATCTTATTAGGAGAAAATAAGCCACGAAGCACTGAAAGTTTTTTGAAAGTTGAAATTTACTTGACTGCCACCTTCGGGATCTTTCGTTCCAAAGTTCAGGAAAATTTTGCAATTTCCCTGAACTTTGGAACTAAAGATCCCGAAGGTGTCAGTCAAGTTAATTTTAACTTTTAGGAAACTTTCCATTTTGTTTGTTAATAAATCATATCAATTCTTACGAAATGATATTAATAATAATAAATATAAATAAATTAGTACAATAATAAATAATGAAATTTTATCGAATTTTCAGAATTAACCGATAGTTTGATAGCCGCACAAGCATTTGTATTTTTTATCGCCGGCTTTGAAACTTCATCAACGACAATGAGCAATGCTCTCTATGAATTGGCCCTGAATCCTTCGATTCAAGACAAATTACGAAAGGAAATTCAAGAGGAATTAAAAGTAACTGAGGGGAAATTATTATACGATAGAATAAAAAATTTGAAACTTTTACATATGGTTTTTCAAGGTTTGTTTCTCAAATGTCCTTCAATTCTTTATTATACATAAACTCATAAACTTATTAAAAAAGAAATGGAAAAAAATACGCTTTTAAATATAAAAGAAAAATGCAATTTAAAATTTTAAATATTCACTAAATTTTGAAAAATCTATTTCTGACAGAAACTTTGAGAAAATATCCGCCAGTAACGGTTCTTATGAGAAAAGCAACGGAAAAATATACATTTTCCGGTACAAATGTGACAGTGCCGAAGGGTCAGAAAGTGTGGATTCCAGCTTATGCGATTCAACGAGATCCGAATAATTATCCTGATCCTGATACTTTCGATCCACAGAGATTTAGTGAAGAGGGAGAGGAATCGAGGCATCCCATGCTATTTTTGCCATTTGGAGATGGTCCCAGAAATTGCATTGGTAATGATAAAAAATTTCTGTTAATTCAAAAAATTAATTTCAAATCAAAAAACTATTTCTAAATCAAAACACTATTTCGAATTTAAAACAATATTTCTAGACAATTAAAAAAGGATCTCTAATTTTATAAAAAAATATTTAAGATTCCTTTTTATATTAATATTTAATGCTTGATTCCTATTTTTTCTAAACAGGAGCGAGATTTGCAATTTATCAAACAAAAGTAGGATTGATGACAATACTTAAAAATTACAGAGTTGACGTTTGTGAAAAAACAACTATTCCTTACGTCAACCATAAAAGTTCGTTTCTTCTACAACCAAAGGATGGAATTTATCTTAAATTTAAAAAAATAGTTTAATTTCTCCCAAATAAGAAACAAAATTTGTGACTTTTAATTAATTAATTAATTATTGAATTAATTATTTAATTGATTAATTATTTAATTAATTAATTAATTAATTAATTATTTAATTAATTAATAATAATTAATTAATAATAATTAATAATAATTAATTAAATGAATTTAAAACTTTGTTATTCTGGTAAATAATCATACTAAAATTGAATTAATTTAGTCAATTTATTTAATTCAATTTGTTTAGAGTATATTTAGAAATATTGTACTTTTTTAGACTGTTCTCTAATTATTTATACACACATCGATTTAGTATTATTTGTTCCTTTTTTGATTTTTTCCCATTCCTTTATCATATTTTCGTATCATAATCTCGACGTTTCATAAAAAAAAAAATGTCTCATTATCGCAATTCACGTCGATATCCTTGTAATTAAAATTAAAAATTCATTTTCTAAGATAAGAATTTTGTACATAGTTTTTTTTATAGTTCTATTTGTTTCATTGCAATTTAAAAAAAATGTACGAAAAAATCAAAAAGAAAATTTGATTTTTATTTTGTATTTGAAATAAATAATAGTTTCTAAGAATAAAATTTGTTCTCTTGTTTGCACCTTTCGAAAAATATTCACTAAATATTAATTAAATATTTAGAGAATTCTACTGTCGTGGCGTAATCGGCAAAGGGGGACAAAATGCAATATTTATTAGCAAACATTTGCTATCTATTTGTAGATTTAGATAAGAACAGAAAAAATGACAGTTTCACTTTTTTGTAACACTCCTTTTATCATGTTGTTAATAATTTTATCGACGTAGAATGACAATTGTAAATTTTTTCTCAAAGTTCCATTTGAAATAATAAATTAATTCAATTCAATTCAATATAATAAAAAAAAAAATTTTTTCTTTAATCTTTAAAAAAACTAAAAATAAAAAAAGCCAGAAACAAAAAAAATATATAATTAACTATAATAATCGTCGTATTCATTCTTTCATTTATTTTGATTAATTTTTCAAGAACTATCATAAAATTATGACTTATAAATTATTTAATGAATATATGTTTACAATTTTCATAAAGTTTGATAAAAAAAAATTTAAGTTAAAAATAAAAATACTAAAAAAAATTAAATTTTGGAAAAGTTACAAATGATTTCAGAAATTCAATTATTTTCAGAAATTATAAAAATTCATCGCAGAATTTCAATTATGTTCGAAAATTAAAGAAAAATTCTCATTAAAATTTCAATTATCTTTATAAATAATAAAATTCTTCTCTGAAATTCAATAATTTAAAAAATTTTTAATAAAATTCGTTGCAAGAATTCAATTATTTTCCATAAATAATATCTCAAGTCATCGAATGATTTCAATTATTTTCAATTCAATTTTAATAAAATTTTTACAAACAATTCAATTATTTTCAAAAATTAATATAATTCAATATAAAAATTGAATTATCAATTTTTAATCAAATTCATGAAAAAATTTACGAGAATTCAATTATTTTTATAAATAATAAAACTCATCGCAGAATTTCAATTTTTTTAATACAATTTTAAATGAATTCCTCAAAAAATGCAATTATTCTTAACAATTGTATTAAAATTCGTTGCAAGAATTTAATTATTTAAAAAAAATTAACAAAGTTCTTTTGAAGAATTCAATTAATTTTATAAATATTAAAATTCTTCACCGAAATACAATTATTTTTATAAACTTGAATAAAATTCGTTGCAAGAATTCAATTACTTATATAAATAATAAAATTCCTCACTGAAATCCAGTTATTTTTATAAACTTGAATAATATTCGTTAAAAGAATTTAATTATTTTCATAAATAATAAAACTCATCGCAGAATTTCAATTATTTTTGATACAATATTTTAATCCAATTCCTCGAAAAATGTAATTATTCTTAAAAATTTTATTAAAATTTCTCAAAAGAATTCAATTATTTAAAAAAAATTTTTAATATCATTTGTGTATTAGAATTTTGATAATTATTTTCAAAATTGTAATGAAATTTTTAGAAAACGATTCAATTATTTTTAAAAAATTTTCCAAATTCAATTATTTTCGATACAATTTTAATAAAATTTCTTCAAAGAGAATACAATTATTTTCAAAAATCATTTAATAAATTATTTATTTTTTTATTTAAATAATTGAATTCTCGAAGAACTTTCTAATAAAAATTGATTTAAAAATGAATAACCGAATAATTGATTTATTATTTTTGAAAATAATTGATTTCTTAGGAATTTTATTATATTTTTTTAAATAATTGAATTTTTTTGAGAAATTTTACTAGGTACTTGTAAAAATAATTGAATTCTTGCGAAGAATTTTATTACATTTTTTTCAAATAATTGAATTTTTTTGAGAAATTTTACTACTTGTAAAAATAATTGAATTCTTGCGAAGAATTTTATTAGGATTTTGATAAATAATTAATTTTTTTTTTTGAAAATTTTTATGGTAATTTAAATTATTACAAAACATGAAGAAGGCGATCGATATCATATGAAGTCAATTATTTTCAAAAATAACAAAATTTTTTAGAAAAATTTAATTCTTATCCAACATTTTAATAACATTTTTTGCATTAATTCAATTATTTTTATAAATAATAAAATTCTTCTTAGAAATTCAATTATTTTTGAAAATTTTAATAAAATTCTTAGTATCAATTTAATTATTTTCATATATTTACAGGAATTGCTAAGAAAACTGTAATTATTCTTACAAATTTAATTTCAATTCGTCGAAAAAATCCATTTATTACAAAAATATTAGAGTTTTTCACAGGAATTCAATTATTTTCAAATATTTAAATAAAATTGTTCGAAATAAATCAATTATTTTAAAATTTAAATACAATTTCAATTATATTTTTTTGAAATAATTCAATTATAAAATTCTTCTAAAAATTAAATTATTTACATAAATAATTCTTCGAAAGAATTCAATTATTTAAAAAAAATGTCCATAATATTTATTATAAATATTTCGAAAAATTAATTATTTAAAACAATGTTTATCAAATTCTTATGAAGAATTCAATTATTATTTTCAAAAATAACAAAATTTTTCGCAATAATTCAATTATATTTATACATAAATAATTGAATTTTTGGAAGAACTTAAATATTAAAAATATTATTAAGAAATCGTATTATTTTTGTTTTCATAGACACAGTTCACTAAAGATGTTATAGCTTAGAGAATAATCTGATAAAAATCTCCAAAAATATTAAGTAAGGAAATAAAAATTTTGAGAGTGGAAAATAAAAGCAAAAATGGTTCAAAAGTCAATCCGTTTATCAGTTTGCTTCAAGTACTTTTTTTGCTTGCAATTTAATTCCGCTGAGATATTTTTTTAGTCATTTTATTTTTTTTCGCTTTCTTCGATTTCAAATATCTCTCGTTTTTTCATTCATCTTCACTTTTATCACTTATCTCTCAGTAAACATAAATATAAACAAAAGCAAAAAATTCAAAATTACGCCAAAAAATTAAAAATAAGTTCAATTAATCAACAGTGAAATAAATCATCAAAAAAAAAATGTCATTCGAAATTTTGTGCCTAATTCTGACAATAATCATCTTCATCTATCACTACAGTACCTCAACATTCACATTTTGGAAAAATCAAGGTGTCAATGGTCCAATGCCAATACCATTTGTCGGAAATTTCAAAGACTTTATGCTAAGTCGAATAAGTATTGGCGATTTTGCAAAAAAAGTGTACGACGAATTTGAAAATGAAAAATTAATTGGATTTTATGCTCGAAGAAGGCCAATTCTTCTTCTACGGGATCCAAATTTAATAAAGGATGTCCTGATAAAGGATTTTAATAAATTTGCCGATCGTGGTTTAACATTTCACGAGAAAGTTGATATTTTATCGCCAAATTTATTTATGATTGAATCAAAACGTTGGCGACCATTGCGTAAATGTTTATCGCCAGTATTCACGTCGGGAAAATTAAAGAAAATGTTTCATCTAATGGCGGAGACTTGTGAGCATTTGGAGGATTATTTAAATAATGTTGTCGTTGAAAATGAACCAATCGAATGTCGAACATTGACGGCAAAATTCACCACAGACGTCATTGGTTCTTGTGTTTTTGGTATTGATATTAATGCATTGTCAGATGAGAAAAATGATTTTCTTCGAATGGGTAGAGTTGTTTTTGAAGTGGATTTTTGGAGGAATGTGAAATTTCGAATGAGAGAAGTGACACCGTTTTTGTATAATTTACTGGGGCCGTTGGTCACTGAACGTGAGATGAATCAGTTTTTTATTAATTTAATTCGCGATGCAATGCAGTACAGAGAGGAGAATAATATTGTTAGGCATGATTTTGTTGATCTGTTGAAACAAGTGAAAGATGATCTTAATCGATTAACGGACATCGGTACGTAAATTGTAAAAAAAATTTTTTTTAATCTTAAAAATTGCTTTTTTGCAACTTTGCTTTAAGCTCCTATGCACTGTACTTTCTTGATTATTTTTTATTTTATAAAAGACTAAGTTTTTGGATTTATTGTTTGTCATTGTAGAAGTAACCGATACTTTGATAGCAGCACAGGCTTTTGTATTTTTCACCGCGGGTTTCGAAACTTCATCAACAACAATGAGCAATGCTTTGTATGAATTGGCTCTGAATCCTTCAATTCAGGACAAATTACGAAGGGAAATTCAAGAGGAATTAAAAATAACTGAGGGAAAATTGTTCTACGACAGAATAAATAATTTGAAACTATTGCACATGGTTTTTCAAGGTTTGTTTTAGTTTTCTCAAAAGTGTCAAATTGATACTAAAATGGATCGAATTGATAATATGCCAAAAATTTTGATCCATTTTTTATTTGGTCCGCAATTTTTTATATCAATTCGTTGCAATTTGATGCTTTTAAGTTAACATTGCCGGAAAAAATATAAATTTATGAAAAATCTATTTTTATGTCAATAATTTTCTAATTTTCTAATTGTTTAATTATTTATACAGAAACTCTTAGAATGTATCCGCCAATTACTGTTCTAATGAGAAAAGCAACAGAAAACTATACATTCACTGATTATAATGTAACACTACGAAAAGGCGACAAAGTTTGGATTCCAATTTATGGAATTCATAGGGATTCGAAATATCATCCTAATCCTGATACCTTTGATCCTGATCGATTTAAAGATGAGGAGGTGTCAACACGACATCCAATGGTCTTTCTGCCATTTGGCGATGGACCACGAAATTGCATTGGTACTGATAAAAATTACTTCTAATTTCAGAAACACAAAAAAAATTTTTAATTAAATTTTAAACAAATATAAAAAAAATAAAAAAATAATTTATTTATAAATACTATTTTTAATTGCAAAAAAAAATTCCTAATTAAAAAAGTATTTTAAAAAGTATTTTAAAAAAGTATTTTAAAAAGTATTTTAAAAAGTATTTTAAAAAGTATTTTTAAAAAGTATTTTAAAAAGTATTTTAAAAAGTATTTTAAAAAATATTTTTAAAAATATTTTTAAAAATATTTTTAAAAAGAACCAGTTCAAAAAACATTTCTAAGTATGTAACAAATATTCTGAATTAAGAAGTATTCCTGTTGAATTAAAAATATCTCTTCCTTTTGCAAATATATTTAATTTTCGATTTTTTTCAACAAACAGGAGCGAGGTTTGCAGTTTATCAAACAAAAGTAGGATTGATGACAATACTAAAAAATTACAGAGTTGATGTTTGTGAGAAAACAACTATTCCTTACGTCAACCATCAAAGTTCGTTTCTTCTACAACCGAAAGATGGAATTTATCTCAAATTTAAGAAAATACAATAAAATAAAATAAGTTACAATAAAAACTTCTCAAACATTTTTTTAGGTAAAATATTTCTCTATTAAAAAAAACCTATAAAATTTAAAGGTAAAAACACTTCCACGTTCCATAAATAAGTTTCATATAATTACCCAAAATTATAATTTTCACTTCGTATCCTGTTTTAAATTAAAAAAGAAAATTAAAATCAACTTGAAATTATATTTATCGGATAATTATAAAAAATTTAGTAATAAAATAGTAAAAAAAAAATTAAAAACAATTTGAAATTATATTTATCTGATAATTATAAAAAATTTAGTAACAATAAAATAATAATATAAAATTTATCTTATGCAATCGAAAAATAAAATTAAAAAAAGAACGTAAATTTTAATTAGAATATATATGTATAATATATATTTATGACAGTTATCTAGAGTGTCATTGTCAAATTACGTCATTCAACGTTACACTCTGCTACTCTATACAGTACAGTATTCTTTGTTATTCTCAATACTTCATACCTCCCAACATTCAACATTATTCTCAGCTCCTAAAATCAGTCACCATACTATACAGTGTTTATATAAATGAATTATGTCAGTGTTATACTATAAATTTAAAGGAAGTACGAATTCAAATATTTTATAAGTAAATAATAATTAGCAAAAAAGAAAACTATTATCATCAGTAATTTCGTATCAAAAAAGAGACGCATATTAATTTGTTATCTTCGAACATTTATTTATACTCGTGACAGTTATACATACTTATATTGATAATAATTAATAAGTAACACCTGGTGAGCTATTCATATTATTATTAATATTATTTTTTTTTAATTTCTTATTGTTTATATTATTTCAATTAGTTTTTATTATTATTATTAGCACAACTATTAAATATTTTTTTAAATCAAACTCTCATAAAGAATTAAATCAAAATTTCTTAAAATAATTAAATTCTTTCAAAGAATTTTAATAAAATTTTTCTAAAATAATTGCATACCTATTATTTATGAAAATAATTGAATTTATCTAAAGGTTTTTAATTCTTACGAAAATAATTGAATTTCTGCGAGGGATTTTATTTAAATTCTTAAAAATGATTTTTAATATTTTAACAAAAATTTAAATTCCTCAGAAGAATTTGATTATTTATAAAAATAATTCAATACTTCTGAACAATTTTATAAAATATTTTTTAAATAATCGATTTATTTTTTAAATTGTATGAAAGTATTTTAAGTAATTGAATTCCTAGAACTCTGGTAATTTTCAGACGATTAGAAGTGTTAAATTTGAAAGAAAGAAATTTTTATTTTCGTTTTAACCAAATTTTGATTGTCTGATGGCGTTCGGGTGGTGGTGCTACTACTTAAAAATTGAAATAAAATTCTCTATTCTTCAGGATTGGGTAGAGCTCAGTCCCTACTAGAACTCTGGTAATTTTTAGATGATTATAGTTACTAAATTTGGAAGAAATAAATTTTTATTTTCGTTTTAACCAAATTTTGATTGTCTGATGGCGATCGGGTGGTGGTGCTACTACTTAAAAATTGAAATAAAATTCTCTATTCTTCAGAATTGGGTAGGGCTCAGTCCCTACTAGAACTCTGGTAATTTTCAGATGATTATAGTTACTAAATTTGGAAAAAATAAATTTTTATTATCGTTTTAACCAAATTTTGATTGTCTGATGGCGTTCGGGTGGTGGTGCTACTACTTAAAAATTCAAATAAAATTCTCTATTCTTCAGGATTGGGTAGGGCTCAGTCCCTACTAGAACTCTGGTAATTTTCAGATGATTATAGTTACTAAATTTGGAATAAATAAATTTTTATTTTCGTTTTAACCAAATTTTGATTGTCTGATGGCGTTCGGGTGGTGGTGCTACTACTTAAAAATTGAAATAAAATTCTCTATTCTTCAGGATTGGGTAGGGCTCAGTCCCTACTAGAACTCTGGTAATTTTCAGATGATTATAGTTACTAAATTTGGAAAAAATAAATTTTTATTATCGTTTTAACCAAATTTTGATTGTCTGATGGCGTTCGGGTGGTGGTGCTACTACTTAAAAATTGAAATAAAATTCTCTATTCTTCAGGATTGGGTAGGGCTCAGTCCCTACTAGAACTCTGGTAATTTTCAGATGATTATAGTTACTAAATTTGGAAAAAATAAATTTTTATTATCGTTTTAACCAAATTTTGATTGTCTGATGGCGTTCGGGTGGTGGTGCTACTACTTAAAAATTCAAATAAAATTCTCTATTCTTCAGGATTGGGTAGAGCTCAGTCCCTACTAGAACTCTGGTAATTTTCAGACGATTAGAAGTGTTAAATTTGAAAGAAATAAATTTTTATTTTCGTTTTAACCAAATTTTGATTGTCTGATGGCGTTCGGGTGGTGGTGCTACTACTTAAAAATTGAAATAAAATTCTCTATTCTTCAGGATTGGGTAGGGCTCAGGCCCTACTAGAACTCTGGTAATTTTCAGATGATTATAGTTACTAAATTTGGAAAAAATAAATTTTTATTATCGTTTTAACCAAATTTTGATTGTCTGATGGCGTTCGGGTGGTGGTGCTACTACTTAAAAATTGAAATAAAATTCTCTATTCTTCAGGATTGGGTAGAGCTCAGTCCCTACTAGAACTCTGGTAATTTTTAGATGATTATAGTTACTAAATTTGGAAGAAATAAATTTTTATTTTCGTTTTAACCAAATTTTGATTGTCTGATGGCGTTCGGGTGGTGGTGCTACTACTTAAAAATTGAAATAAAATTCTCTATTCTTCAGGATTGGGTAGGGCTCAGTCCCTACTAGAACTCTGGTAATTTTCAGATGATTATAGTTACTAAATTTGGAAAAAATAAATTTTTATTATCGTTTTAACCAAATTTTGATTGTCTGATGGCGTTCGGGTGGTGGTGCTACTACTTAAAAATTGAAATAAAATTCTCTATTCTTCAGGATTGGGTAGAGCTCAGTCCCTACTAGAACTCTGGTAATTTTTAGATGATTATAGTTACTAAATTTGGAAGAAATAAATTTTTATTTTCGTTTTAACCAAATTTTGATTGTCTGATGGCGTTCGGGTGGTGGTGCTACTACTTAAAAATTGAAATAAAATTCTCTATTCTTTAGGATTGGGTAGAGCTTAGTCCCTACTAGAACTCTGGTAATTTTTAGATGATTATAGTTACTAAATTTGGAAGAAATAAATTTTTATTTTCGTTTTAACCAAATTTTGATTGTCTGATGGCGTTCGAGTGGTGGTGCTCCTACTTAAAAATTGAAATAAAATTCTCTATTCTTCAGGATTGGGTAGGGCTCAGTCCCTACTAGAACTCTGGTAATTTTTAGATGATTATAGTTACTAAATTTGGAAAAAATAAATTTTTATTATCGTTTTAACCAAATTTTGATTGTCTGATGGCGTTCGGGTGGTGGTGCTACTACTTAAAAATTGAAATAAAATTCTCTATTCTTCAGGATTGGGTAGAGCTCAGTCCCTACTAGAACTCTGGTAATTTTCAGATGATTATAGTTACTAAATTTGGAAAAAATAAATTTTTATTATCGTTTTAACCAAATTTTGATTGTCTGATGGCGTTCGGGTGGTGGTGCTACTACTTAAAAATTGAAATAAAATTCTCTATTCTTCAGGATTGGGTAGAGCTCAGTCCCTACTAGAACTCTGGTAATTTTTAGATGATTATAGTTACTAAATTTGGAAGAAATAAATTTTTATTTTCGTTTTAACCAAATTTTGATTGTCTGATGGCGTTCGGGTGGTGGTGCTACTACTTAAAAATTGAAATAAAATTCTCTATTCTTCAGGATTGGGTAGAGCTCAGTCCCTACTAGAACTCTAATAATTTTCAGATGATTAGAAGTGTTGAATTTGGAATAAATAAATTTTTATTTTCGTTTTAACCAAATTTTGATTGTCTGATGGCGTTCGGGTGGTGGTGCTACTACTTAAAAATTGAAATAAAATTCTCTATTCTTCAGGATTGAGTAGGGTTCAGTCCCTACTAGAACTCTGGTAATTTTCAGATGATTATAGTTACTAAATTTGGAAGAAATAAATTTTTATTTTCGTTTTAACCAAATTTTGATTGTCTGATGGCGTTCGGGTGGTGGTGCTACTACTTAAAAATTCAAATAAAATTCTCTATTCTTCAGGATTGGGTAGAGCTCAGTCCCTACTAGAACTCTGGTAATTTTTAGATAATTATAGTTACTAAATTTGGAAAAAATAAATTTTTATTATCGTTTTAACCAAATTTTGATTGTCTGATGGCGTTCGGGTGGTGGTGCTACTACTTAAAAATTGAAATAAAATTCTCTATTCTTCAGGATTGGGTAGAGCTCAGTCCCTACTAGAACTCTGGTAATTTTTAGATGATTATAGTTACTAAATTTGGAAGAAATAAATTTTTATTTTCGTTTTAACCAAATTTTGATTGTCTGATGGCGTTCGGGTGGTGGTGCTACTACTTAAAAATTGAAATAAAATTCTCTATTCTTCAGGATTGGGTAGGGCTCAGTCCCTACTAGAACTCTGGTAATTTTCAGATGATTATAGTTACTAAATTTGGAAAAAATAAATTTTTATTATCGTTTTAACCAAATTTTGATTGTCTGATGGCGTTCGGGTGGTGGTGCTACTACTTAAAAATTCAAATAAAATTCTCTATTCTTCAGGATTAAGTAGGGCTCAGTCCCTACTAGAACTCTGGTAATTTTCAGATGATTATAGTTACTAAATTTGGAATAAATAAATTTTATTTTCGTTTTAACCAAATTTGATTGTCTGATGGCGTTCGGGTGGTGGTGCTACTACTTAAAAATTGAAATAAAATTCTCTATTCTTCAGGATTGGGTAGGGCTCAGTCCCTACTAGAACTCTGGTAATTTCAGATGATTATAGTTACTAAATTTGGAAAAAATAAATTTTTATTATCGTTTTAACCAAATTTTGATTGTCTGATGGCGTTCGGGTGGTGGTGCTACTACTTAAAAA